CTCACAGACACGCGGTACACACGCACGCGCGCTCACAGACACATGCGCGCACACACACGCACACACGCGCTCACAGACACGCGCAAACACACACACGCGCGCGCACACACACACGCGCGCACACACACGCACACACGCGCTCACAGACACGCGCACGCACACACACGCGCGCACACACACACACGCGCGCACACACATACGCGCGCGCACACGCACGCACGCACTGACGGTGCCGGGTTCGCCTGCGAAACCAGCGTCCCGTTTCATTTTGATTCACGATCGCGTTTCAGCGCGGTGACCCCTTGAGATGGCGCCCCTCGTGTGCAGGGGCGTCCAGGGGTGTCCGGTGACAGCAAGCAAAGAGCAGGGAGAGATGGGTGGAGATCGCCAACCCGATGCCAAAATGAACCCCTGGAAAAGGTGGGCCAGGTCTCGTCGGATCTCGGAGGCTGAGGCGGGTTAAGCCAGGTCAAGTCGTCGGATGGGGAAGTTTGCCTGAGGCTGTAGGCTTGCGCTGTGAAATGGCATGGGGATGGCAGTGCGGCAATGGATTCTTTAATCGATATTGTTCGAAACTCTAAGGTGATATCCTCTCGTATCCTTGGGGGGTCCCCCCCCCACACCCTAGCCCCAGATATCTGAGATTCCTCCCACATGAAACCAATCTCACATTGATGGAGGTGGTCGATCACTTCAGAGCAGTGACCCGCCTGAACAAGTCTTGAGACACGGTGTGGCTCTCCCAGGTTAATAAAGGACATCACTTTCATACAAAACACTAAAATAATAATTACACAATCGCCTGGCTAATACAATCAAATTGCCCCCCCCCCATCCCCCTCTCCGCCTTGAGAATCGGGCCACGTGTTCCAGTTAAGAGATCCGTGGTGTGCAGATGAGACTCAGAAAGGTAATAAGTATAACCCGTAAAAACAAAGTTTTTCACTATAAATCCTTTATATGCGTGGCGGCTAGAGTCCTCTCGTCCTCTGGCTTGAGATGGCTGCCACCTATGGGTCAGATGATTGCATTGCACCATTAAGCAATTGGTAATTAAATATATTTTTGTCCTAAAAAGTGTAAAATTTTGGAAAAAATTTTTCACGAACATTAATTGTCACGCACAACGAGTTTGTGTGGAAAATGTCAGCTCGATTGGATCACGGGAAGTGGGTTAAAAAAACGACCGAAAGATTTGCATGGTCCTAAGCAAGCAAGCGAACTTAATATAAAGGATTTAAAAACCATTCATTTCGCATGCTTGGTTAAAAGCAGACGCCAATGGAATACAATGATTAAGCGTGCAAGTTGATCGGCGGATGGAAAGTTAATGTATTTTGGGTGATTAAAATAACTGCTGTACGTTTTAATTTTTCTAACCCGTTCGTATCCATTGGTTATGAACGAATGTTCAGGGCCCTTCAGCAGGCAGGAATGTAATATTAACGCAGTGGTTGACAGGGAAACACCGCACACAGCAATAACAACAATCATCAACAAACCATAGCGTGCAAAATTAATGTCATGAGTTTTTTTTGTTTGCACCGATATTTTGTATACGGGACAGCCAATTCAACATCTCCCGTGATTGCGTTTACTCTGTGCGGAACGGTCAAAACGTGCGTGGACATTGCGACTCGATTGGCGTTGGCCACGGACTTTTATATGTGTTTAAAGAGACTCGTGCCTTGTGGATGAAGGCCACGTGACAGTTACTCGCGATATTACGTGACACACACACACACATGACACACACACCGAGGATAGAGACATCGATCACCCGTACAGCTTTAACAGACTGTGTTAGGGAAAGTGCTCTTAGCGGCAAGGCATGCGAGCGGGTGACTGGCCAACACCACAACCGGTCAGGTACTGAATTTAATGCTGAGTAGACCTAGGGGAGGCACAGGACCGGTTACACTCATCACCACTTATTGATCATGAACGGGGATTGAACTGGGGCGCCGGGTTTAGTAGTGCAGCGGCTCGAGCACTGCACGACCGCAGGCCCAACCATTCCACAGATGCACACGCACGCACAAACCAGTCCGCCTTTGTCTCCCTCGTGGCGATATTTATACACCGCACCAGGTGCTCATTCGAGGCCGGCAAATACAAAGACACACACACACACATTGTTTGACAAACACACATGCGCACACACACATCACATGCAGATATGGACACACATTCCGAAAGGCCAGACCACGCATTCACTGGACACAGGCATCCACCGAGAGAGAGACACACACACACCAATGGGAAATGCTCATGAATAAATGAACGCTTCTCAACACTTGACTGTACGCCAGCGACGCTAGCGTCTGCACGGGGTGGGCTGCCCGCCAGGCTGACTGGCTAAGGTGGCTCCATGACCCCCCCCCCGTCCACTGGCATCGATTGATTTTTTTCGGGGAAAAACAGAAAGCGACTTCGATCCTCAAAGCACCCACAGCAGCAGTGGGCAGCAGCACCGGCAGCTACGTGTCTGTGTGTGTGTCTGTGTGTCTGTGTGTGTGTGTCTGTGTGTGTGTGTCTGTTTGTGTGTCTGTGTGTGTGTGTCTGTGTGTGTGTGTCTGTGTGTGTGTGTCTGTGTGCGTGTGTCTGTGTGTGTGCTCTGTGGTGCGGTAGTGTAGCGGTTAGCGCACTGCACTACGAACCTGGCGACCCGGGTTCGATTCCCGCTCACGGCCAACACCGGTGATGATTATCTAAACCGGTTCCGGGCCTCCACTAGATCGTCTCAGCCTCAAATTGAGGTGTGTAAAACATCGCCACTAGGGAGACAAAGGCGGACGGGCGTGGTGCTGGCCACCCACTCCCTCGTGTGCCGTGCCGGCTTTCATTGGTGCTAGCTAACAGCACTTGCCCCTAAAGTCTGTTCAGGCTATACGGGGGGATCTTTGTCTTTGTGTCATTGTGGGGAGCGGTAGTGCAGCAGTTAGCGCGTCGCGATACGAGCCCGGCGACCCGAGTTTGATTCCCGCTCACAGCCACCAACACCACTGACGATCATCTGAGCCGGTCCAGTGCCTCCCCTAAGTCGGTTCCGCCTTAAACGAGTACCTGGTGCGGCGTTTAATCATCACAACCGGGGAGACACACCCCCCCACCTTCCTCCGCTTCATAGGTGCACGCTCACAGCACTTGTCTCCAAACCGTCTGTCAAGGCTACACGGGGAATCTTTGTCTTTGTTTCGGGAAAGGCGATACGACCCCGCGGGGAGCTTGCGCGTACTTCAGCGCCGACTTGGGAATAGTAACAGAGTGAGGGGGTCTCGGTGACCTCTTTGGGGCAGAGGAAAGCAGCTTGAAGGACAGACGACGCATTGGGGGATTGCTCTGCCAGGGATACTCGCCCTCCCACATGCCCATGGCACGTGGCACCAAAGCGGATTAATTCAGGACACCGCTGCCAGGTCTGACTTTGGGGGAGTCGGCAGATGGGTATTGGACAGGAAGGGCCACAGGCATGGCTGGGACTGCCGCGGGAATGCTGAACATTCGCGGACAGAATATGAGTGGGGACACAGAGCTATAGAGAGACGGGGGGGGGGGGGGGTACATTAACAGACGGACACGAAGAGATAGAGATCTCCAGGCCCTGCGAGTTGATTTCCGTCTCCTTCTTCACCACCTTCCATCCATGGCCGGGTTAGGTTATGCTATCCCAAGCTAAAAATCTATTATTCTTGTCATTGTTTTAAATCAAGAACACACGGTGTGACCCCCCCAGTGGGAAGATGACACTCGCCCCCCCCCCAATGACGTCGCTTGCAACCAGCCCCCCCTCCCCCCATTGCTATAGTGAGCCACGCTGGGGCCACGGAAATTGAGCTACAAGACCCCAATTCACAATGGGCCAGGCCCAGTGTTGTCCTCACGAAATTATCAGTGTTGTGCTCACGACATTATCAGCTCAGGGGGTGCGGCAATCAGTCAGATGGGGCCCCAATATTTGATTCTTTTCTCACAGTCGCACACCTAGAAGCCACTATGTGTCGCGGCTCCTCCTGACTAAATCACGCCGTCGTTACGCTCACGGTCTCGAACATTTAACGCTGTGGGGGCGCTCTGCCTTTCGCAAAAATGCAGTCACTACAGCTTCGTAGTACCTCGTTGCAATGTTACCTTCACTGCTCTAATTAAATTCAAATAATAAGTGTAACATAAACGAAAGCATTTTAATAATAATAATAAAAAACAACCCGTGTTTAAAATAAGTTTTTGTTCTCTTACACCGTTGTCGAAAACATATTTCATGGCGGTTGCCTAGGGGGCCACAACTCGTAGCTTTGGCCACTACGGGTGGGCAAGGCAACCTCGGCCCCCACGCTGGTTACACTCCTGGTCAGGCCGCCGCTGAGCTCAAATCATTCCCCTGTGGGAATGAGCGGCGGTCGTGGCGAACACGGGCAAGATGACACACGGGGGAGGGAGGGCGTCTCACCCGGGTAGAGGGACACGTTCTCAGATTTCACCTGCTCGTACAGGTACGATGGGACAGCCGTCGTGGGGAACACGGGCAAGGGGACACACGAGGGAGAGAGGGCGTCTCGCCCAGGTAGAGGGACACGTTCTCAGGTTTCACGTTGTCGTCCAGGTACGTGGGGACAGCCGTCGTGGGGAACACGGGCAAGGGGACACACGAGGGAGGGAGGGCGTCTCACCCAGGTAGAGGGACACGTTCTCAGGTTTCACGTTGTCGTCCAGGTACGTGGGGACAGCCGTCGTGGGGAACACGGGCAAGGGGACACACGAGGGAGAGAGGGCGTCTCGCCCAGGTAGAGGGACACGTTCTCAGGTTTCACGTTGTCGTCCAGGTACGTGGGGACAGCCGTCGTGGGGAACACGGGCAAGGGGACACACGAGGGAGGGAGGGCGTCTCACCCAGGTAGAGGGACACGTTCTCAGGTTTCACGTTGTCGTCCAGGTACGTGGGGACAGCCGTCGTGGGGAACACGGGCAAGGGGACACACGGGGGAGGGAGGGCGTCTCACCCAGGTAGAGGGACACGTTCTCAGGTTTCACGTTGTCGTCCAGGTACGTGGGCCCCAGCGTGTAGATTGGAGCCGCGCCCATCCCCACCAGCAGCTGGGCCAACACGAACAGGGCCATGGCAATCGTGCGCTCACCGCCGACCCCCTCCACCTGGAGGCCGACACCGCACGCGTACTCGCCTCCCCCGGTGGCCGTAGCCAGCGGGGTGAGGGCGTGGACGAGGCCTGCTCCTCGTAAACACACGCGGAGAGGGAGGGAAGGGAGCATCGGTCACCGAACCTAAAGGGCCTGTGGCTGACAGTGGCCGTCACAACAATGTGTATGGCATCATCGTCGTCATAATCCCGTGCTTTGGTTTTTATTCTGATTTCCTGGATCTTGTCCTGACCGATGTCTGAATCGGAATCTTTGTTTAGACTTCAGGAATCTGGTGAGATAATTTTCACAGATGTAAAATATTGGGTGGGTCTGTTTGATGCAGCTTCCAAGCGAAACGTCACGCATCTAATCGCTCAATTTTCGTCGAGTTCTTCAAATCCCCCACCGTGAGCTGACACAGCAGTAATTGGCACGTCGTTCCGCCTGTACACGTAACAATGCAATTCGCTTGGCTGTGCCGGGTGGCGGAGGGTCTTAGCGACACAAACTTTGCCAGATCGTTATGTGAACTTACCCAAAAAGCAATCACAAATCACCATCATCATATGGCCTTTCAACCAACTAATCAGAGACTACACGGGACGAATGTTCTTATGCTGTTTTTTCGTGGATTTTCTGTTTGCACATAGTCACTTTAAGATGTATTCTTGTTCATGTTTTTGTTTTTTTGTTTGTTGCGGTTGCACCCGATGCAAGAGGCGAATGGCTCACAGGGCTCTACCTAATAAATAAACTTGAAACTTCCGCCACGTATCTCCATCTCTGACCGGTGTTCCTGTTTCGTTCAATTTCACTGCGCGTCCTTCTACAAGTCTTTCTCAACGTCTCCGAATCCGGCTCTCGGCGTGCCTCTGCTCCTGTTTCCTTCCACTTCTGTGTGCGCCATTGCCGCGCGCGGGATCCTAGCCGAGCACACCCTTGCTCTGCATTGAATGCGTTAACGTAGTCATGTAAACTCGCATTCATTGGCAGGTAACAACTTTGTATAAAGAGGACCGCAGAGCTCGGTGAGGGAATTTTTTTGGGTGCCGGATCTCCATTCGGCTGCTGCCTTTCCCACTCTTTTTCTGTTCTCTCACGCCTCGATGTCATTCTCTCTCGCATAGACAGCGAGCAAATAATGGGCAGCACGGAACAAGTCGAAGTAAAATATTGTTTTGGTGTTTATTTAATTTTGAGGATTAAAATATAATCTGGTAAGTCTGTCTATTTAGAAGGCCTTAATCTTTTCTGAGGATTGGACTTCGCACAACTGCACAAATAAACCCGCGCGTTCGGCCGGCAGGCTCATGGACTCATCGCACTGGCACGCAGCGTGACGTTCACCGTAAAGTGTTGCATAAAACGCTTCTTGAAATCATTTGTGTTGCCAATCTCCTGCCAAAAAAAAAGAAAAAAAGCTATAACGCGCTGGTCAATTCGTAATTGTTACGCCGCGTGGTAAGTCTCATTGCGGGTCTGTTTAGGGGCCATCCATTGAGTAGGTACGCAAAATTTTGTCAAAACTTGACCCCCCTCCCTGTACGCCCGCGTACTTTTTACACCTCTCCCCCCATCCCTGCGTACGTACGCCTGACGCACCCCCCCCCCCGAATCCGATAGAACGGCCGATATTTAATCCACGCAGAAACCATCAAGGATTACTAATATTTACGTGTTTAAGCAAACAGATAGTCCACCGCCGGCTGCATTAAATAATTAAGTCGCGTACCCTGGCCACTTATTTTGCTGAGCTGCGTGCTAGCTCGCAGTCAGGGGTACGATGGCACACGAGTGACACCTCTCCCACAGTCCCACCTCTCCCGGCAGGACTTGTTGTCTGACAGCTGAAGACACTGAACTGTGGCTCATTTGAAGGCCAATGTAGACAAATTATTATCGAGGCTTCATCCCCCCCCCGTTTCCTATGCGTACGTACATTGTCAGTAGACCCCCCATACGCAAGCGCAATTGGGTTAACCCCCCCCTCCATGCGTACGTACTAAATGGATGCCCCCTTAGAAGTTTTGTTGTTTTCTTGACCACGTGACGTGTCCACGGGTCAATTGGAGAGACGTTAACACTTGCAGAGGCACGGCAAGTTTTCCTCTCAGCTCAGCTGGCTCCACATTGAGTGTTTGATTTTATTTAAAATACTGACATGTTTTCACGTCCCACCGGCCACACGGCATTCTCTGGGGGTGCATAGTTTTGGCAGCTTTGGCTAAACTGCAAGCAAACCGGTGACGACATTCGATGTCATGCTTGCTTGAACTAATGCTGGTGAATGTTTTCTTTTTCTTTTCAGGTAAGGACATCTTTATGAGATCTCTTTTACCAGTGGCAAAATATAGTGGTAGGTTTTTACCCTTTTAAAAAAAGCAAGCAAAAAGAAGCAACTCTAATAAGGACAGTGCATATTATTATCATTATCAGAGTTGCTTCTTTTTGTTTGCTTTTTTTTTACTACTTGTGTTATTGTGGTTGTGGTTATTGCAACCATGATTCATTGAATGAAGGTGTCAGTTTTGTACCAATTTAAAAGGGTAAAAACCTACTACTAAGGACATCTTTGTTAGATATGGCTCCTTAGTTCGACACAAAACCATATACAGGGTGGCCCAAAAGTAAGGACACATCGGGATGTTTAATTTATTTTAACACTGGCATTAATACACATTTAGTTTAATTCCTTATCTTAAGATTGCATCTATTATCATAGTTTATCGAAATGTTTCTTCTTCCTGAGGGTTCACCTCAAATGTCGTTTAAAAATCTCGACCAAGAAGCCTGAATTAATTGAGATAAAGCAAAATTGCTAAATGTTCAAAGATTACACCAACATCTTTAAACAAAAACACAAATCTCAATTAATTTCAAAAGATAATTTGTGCACGTATTCATGTCAATGGCGGTGAGTTTTAACATTTGTTAAAATGAATGGAATAACCCTATGTGATTTGCTAGTAGAAATATAGTCTAACAACCCTATGTGTCCTGCATTTTGGCCACCCTGTGTAACAGAACATAATAATTAAAATATGAGTAAAAACTAAATAAAACAAAGATATTTGGTGCTTAAATTCTCTGCAACAGCGCTTTTGGATGTGTTGTGCTGTGTAACTCTAGTATGGCAACTTGGCACCACACCTCTGCACACAGCACGTGCGTAATATAGACTGTGTTGCTGTGCAATTATAAGCTCAACCAACATCACACGCACGAAACGCATCCGTAATTACATTTTAGACGACAATAATTAATCACGTGTAATTCGGCAAACATAACCTGGTCAGGAACGTGCGTTGCGAATACAATGGGCAGGCCTACAAATTGTGTGGAGGCTCATGACTGTATTCATATTCTTAGGTTTTTTCGGTAAAGTCACGTAGGAAAAAAATAAAAATAAAAATTAATAAAAGTAAAATAAAAAATAAAATAACAATCACGACGTTTCTGAGGCAACACAAGCTTCCGTCTTCAGGTGGTCCCGTCACAGCACGATAGCTGTATCAAGTGAGAGAAATTCCAAGAACACAGTATTTGTATATATACTGGTTGATGGTGGGAGGAGCCAAGGTAGGCCCTGACTATTATTTTTGTGAGGTTCGGTGCGGTTGAAGCACGTTGTTAGGCATGAGCCTTTGTTGTGTAAACTAGGTGCGGATGATGTAAAGGTGCGTGTAAAAGGGACTGAGCGTTTTTGTTATGTAGAGATGATGCGGCTGAAATCACTGCGAGGAAATGAGTCTTTGTTGTGTAGAATAGTTGACTGAGCCTATTATTATGTAGAGGTGGTGTGACTGTAGCTGTTGAACGGTGACTTTGACCACTCATGAGGAGGGCCTCCTGGTGGCTCAGGGCTCAGAGCAATGAGCCGGCACAGCGCTGAGGACCTGGCCTCCACTCCGGGTTTCAGTCAGCCGTGCTTCAGCCAGGATAACGCGTGTCGTGGGATCTGATCAATCTCAGACTTCGTACGGTGGAGAGTTGATCCCAAATGTCTCTATGTCAGCGTCGAGGTTGGTGAGTGAGCCAGTGGATTGGTTGGCTTCAGGAGTAGCCTGCTGGTGGATATCTCAAAACGCTACGAGATAAATTATGGAATAGGGGGGGGGGGGGTTGAGCGTTTTGAGATTGGTGACCACAGCAGTACCGATGATAGTGACGGAGCTGCTGATAAAGGAGCTGACATCTTTGCTACATCTGCTGACTTGTGCCCCGGTGTCAATAAAGTTAATCAAATTTAAACCCGGTCTTTCTCTCTCTCCCACGCACACACACACGCACCCCGATCGAATTAGACGCACCTCCAACTTTACACTTCGCAACACACGTGGCAAAAGCGCGTCGTATACTCCGTACAATGCGGCGAGCATGCAGGCTATGACTCGCATTCACAGCGGGCGACAACTCGAGCCGCATTGTACGACGGACAAGCGCAGATCGTATCGTTGCTGACTCTGCCGAGCGTTTCACATTCGTTTAAAGTTCAACATTGACGGTGTATTTTCCCACCTCCCCATTTAAAGAAGGTTGCAGGGTTGCTGTTGCTAATATCATTGACTACTCCTACTGCTACTGCTGATAATACTAATAATTCACATACACGTGTGTTTGTGTGTGTGTGCGCAGCAATATAAATAGGTACAGAATGGTGAATCGATCGCTATTGTGAGCAAAGCGTTGGGTAATCCTCATCACGCATCTCCCAAGACGACGTCTGGCCACGTCGTGCGAGAGGTCCTCTCGTGACCCTGCAGAGTGGCTCTCGACAGCTCACTCGAGCGTGAGGCCCTTCCGCGGGCCGAAGCGTGAGCGAGCCATTGCAGGGGCTGCGCCTTTGACACATTGTTGTTGTTGTTTACGACGACGACACAACAACAGCAAGATGTTTTTTTTCTCCATACCTGGCTGTCCCTTGGTGACCCCGAGCGAGGAATCGTTGGGACTCTCCGCCAATGTCGTCGGCACGCACAACTCCAACGGAGTCTGCATCCCCGAGTCTCCTGCGAGGTCACCCAAGTTCGTGGACGACGGCGACGACGACGACGATGACGAACTACCCTTGGTCAAGAAATGGGGCAGCGCAAATATTGCAGCTCCCAGTGCCACTAGCAGCCCGCCGGCGGCCAGCCACCGCGGCCTGCGACCTCGACCGCCGAAGAAGCTCACGAAGACGACGACGGAGAGACTGCCCACGTCGAAGCAACTCACCACGAGGCCCGACTCGGAGCTGCGCAACTTGAAGCGCCTCTCCACCGTGGTGATGACCCCGTTGAGGAGACCCGACACCATGAGCGCCTGCACGAACGTGAGGCTGCACATCGAGAGCAGGAAGCAGCGTGAGTCCTCGAAGCGACGTCTGCACCGGCAGCCGCGCGTCGAAAGGCCGCTGGGTTCAACTCCGACGCCCGCGGAACGTTGAGACAGCGGCGATTCTTTGTGAGTGGACATCTCTCCGTCAGTCCTCCCCAGCCCCAGCCCCCTCTCTAACTCTCCCCCGTGTCAGTGTCTCCGTTGTGGGATGTGTGTAGAGTTGTTGTTCTTGTTGTTGTTGTTATTCTTCCCAGTGCTGTTGGTAGAGATGGCTCAACTTTATCATTGAGTCGGTCCCTTCGTGCTAACTCCTGTGGCTCTAGCCCTCCCCTACGATAGGTCGCCGTTCTTTCTCGGCTCGCTCAAATCCGCATCAACTTGTTTCGCCTTTTCAAATCTGTCACTTTAGTTCCTTCGCTATCCGTCCTCAGCCTTCCACTCTAACTGCCAGGATGAAGCGTAGCTCTTTAAACTCCACTCAGTCCAATTGCTCCCCCACTTCTTTCTCCACTCAAATCTAACATTCAAAGTCGCTGTCCAACTCCGGCAGCAATTCTCCGCCCAGACCTTCCTGCCTCTCTCCCTCTCTCTCTCTCTCGACCCTCAAGCCCTATGAACTCTCGGTCACATGCTTCTTCCAAACACCCTGCCAGGGCATCTTGCCGCGTCCTCCCTCCTCCTCCTCTTCCTCCGCCACTTTCCGTCTCAACGCAACGCCCTCCGCCGACAGCGCCTCTCTCAACTCCACTCAAGCTCCGAGACGTCTCGCGCTCGCCACGTGTCGCTCGCGCTGCGTCCAGACGGCCGATGAGGTCACTCCGTCCCGATGTTCCGCGCACGACGGCCCGTGACATTCACGGTGGGGAGGCAGCAGCAGCAGCAGCAGCAGGCGTCCGTCCGTCCGTTATCCGTGAGGACTTTGCTCGTCTCGTGCAGATCGGGCTTTGGCTGTTACGCAGCGAGGCATCGTGCTGAAATTCGCGTCGTCCAAGCCATTATCATCACAATTATCACCATCATCGTCGTCGTCGTCGTCACATCCTTGAGTGTTGGCGCCGTCATTTGAAGCCGTTCACGATCAAATCGAATTGACTGCGCTCAGAATAGGTAGAATTTTAAATCAAGTGCTGTAAGAGTACATCGACAACAGGAAACACAAAAAAAATGAACGGCGCTCTGCACGTCCTCATTAGCGAGATTAAAAATATCCTACTTTAAAAAAAAAACACCCCCATCTCAGCCTATTTTAAAATATTAAAATCTGTAGCGTATATTCTTATTTTCGCTTTACGTATCGTGCCTGTCACCTCGGCTCGGTGCAGACAGCGGCTTATTGTATGTTGGCTGCGCGCAGCGATATGTGCGTGCGTATTGTGCTCGTATAAATAAAGTCGCGAAAAATCACTTGCCCCAAAAGACTGTTAAGCCTACGCACAGGGCATATGTGTGTGTGTGTGTCCTGTGCTAACCAGAGCAGAGAGCGGTAGTGTGCTACAAACCCAGCTATCGGTCACCAACACCATCAGTGGCGATTATCTGAACCGGTCCTGGACCTTCCCTAGGTCGACTCAGCCTAAAATGAGTACCTTGTGCGCTTTGTAAACATCTCCTCTAGGGAGACAAAGGCGGCCGGGCTTGGTGCTGACCACCACCCACCCGCTCGTGTGTCGTGCCGGCCTTCATAGGCGCTTGCTAACAGCACTTGCCCCGAAAAAGCCTATAAAGCCTATACGGGGGATCTTTGTCTCAGTGTTAGCAGAGCTATATTAAAACCCCGGCTACCAGCACGTGCGTTCGCCTGGCTTGTAGAGGAACAACTGAGCGCGTGTGACTCTTCCCTCTCCCTGGCCACCACCCGCGCTCTCCCCCCTCTCTCTCTCACTACTGTGACGACACACACACCCACAGCACATTGCACACACACACAGCACTACACACAGACACACACTGCACACACACACAGCACTGCACACACACACTAGACACACACACACTACACACAGCACTAAACACACACAGCACTACACACACACAGCGCTACACACACAGCACTGCACTCACACACACACTACCCATACACAGCACTACACACACACACTACACACAGCACTACACACACACACTACACACACACACTACACACAGCACTACACACACACACTACACACACACACTACACACAGCACTACACACACACACTACACACACACACTACACACAGCACTACACACACACACTACACACACACACTACACACACACTACACACACACACTACACACACACACTACACAGCACTACACACACACACTACACACAGCACTACACACACTACACACACACACTACACACACACACTACACACACACACTACACACAGCACTACACACACACACTACACACACACTACACACACACACCACACACACACTACACACAGCACTACACACACACACTACACACACACCCTACACAGAGCACTACACACACACACTACACACACACACTACACACAGCACTACACACACACACTACACACACACACTACACACAGCACTACACACACATACTACACACACACACAGCACTATACACACACTACACACACACACTACACACACATACTACACACACACACAGCACTATACACACACTACACACACACACTACACACACACAGCACACACACACAGCAACACACACACACTACACACACACATCACACACACACACTACACACACACATTACACACACACACAGATCGGCTTATTCCAAGAACATCCACCAAGCCCGGCACGTCACTGAACACTTTACACCAGGTCACACACCCCCCCCCGCCCCCAGGGTGTGTGAGTGTGTGAGTGTGTCTGGGGTTGGGTAATTCCCTGTAATTGATGTACGTTAAGTGCTGAGCACGTGTACTGTACGTACGATATCACAGCACACAGAGCACGTGTTACGGTGGAGGACGCTTTGGGACAATGGTTTAGCAACGCACGCCCACCGAGACTACCGTGCATTTGGTCGTAAATTGTCTAATCTCAGCCGAGTCTTGGTCTAAAATAGGAGCTTCCTTCATGCGGGCGTTCGCCTCTGGGGAAATGAAATGGGAACGTGGATTTGTCGTCGTCGCTGCTGGCAATGGCAGCGGCTTCGCGGCGTCGGACTCAAGAGGCGCTCGCTATCACGCGGCATTGCGCCTGACGCTTTAGGTGGCTCAGACGTGGGAGCTGATGATTTTTGGAGCAGGGTGGCATCATCGAGGGTTTGCGAGCTCATGCCTCCAACGGAGCCGGCCAAATATTTGCGTGGGTTCAAAAAATGTAGACGGTGACATTGAAATGTATTCATATTCTTAGGCTTTTTCGGTAAAGCCACGTAGGTAAAAAATAAAATTAAAATTAATAAAAGTAAAATAAAATAAAACTCACGACGTTTCGGAGGCAACACAAGCTTCCGTCTTCAGGTGGAAGCTTGTGTTGCCTCCGAAACGTCGTGATTTTTATTTTATTTTACATTAATTTTAATTTTTTACCTACGTGACTTTACCGAAAAAAACCTAAGAATATGAATATTTGCAGTCACGAAAGCTTCAAATATAGAATTAGACATTGAAATGTGTCTGTTTATTATAGGGATTCTAAGACGGTGGGGGGGGGGGGGGTAAGTTTGTCTTGTAATCCGAAGAATACGATACTTGAAAAGTACAGGGTGATCCAGATGTCTTGTGACCCCCATTTAATTCTCTAAAACTTAATATGTTAAGAGCAAGGTTTATCCGGGTCAATTAATCAGAATTTGTGTTTATACTGGTGGAATCCGATTAGCTATAAAGCCCTTTTTCACAAAAGTCGAGAAGGGTCGGGCAAGAACGTTTACAACAATACTGGAGGTCACGAGACATCTGGACCACCCTGCATATTTCGCCTCTGGTTTTTGGTTTCCCCTAGGTCAACTCAGCCTCAAATACAGTCCCTTAATACTCGTCAACGCCAAAATCAATCGCGCGTGATTCTAGCTCGGTGCGTCCATCCCTCGACCGTATGTGGCGCTTGTGTTGCTAACAATACGTGCTCGCCAGACAATATTTCATCGCGCCTAGAGTCTGACGGATGTGGCCGCATGGCTCCTGGGCGAGAGGAAACGAGAGGGCAGCGTTTGTGAACTGCTGCATCTCGCAGAGGCCGCCGAGTGATTGCGTGATTGCGTGTGCTATAATTAAACGACCCGGGTTGATTCAGAATAAACTGTCCAATTACGCCAATTTGTAATCGCTGTAGCACGCGCGCGCACAACGCCCACAAGTTACGATGGTTTGTGCGTGGAGCCACGTTCACACGGTTGCAGCAAGATAGGTACAGGCACCTCGGATTAGCACGGTTGGCTACGTACGGTGTGAAAGAAGTTCAACATACATCATCGCGATCCCATGGGCAGATTAAACCCGTTAGGTGTCGATTTCAAGCTTTCGTGACTGCAGGGATTCATCTTCTTGGTTCTTTCGGTAAAGTCACGTAGAAGGGAAATAATAGAATAATTAAAATAAAACAATAAAATACAATTCTCACGAACTTTTCGGCCACAACGCAAGCAGCCGTCCTCAGGCGAAGAACAGGGCTTCAGACGCTGTCTATCCAACAGCCCTGTTCTTCACCCGAGGACAGCTGCTTGCGTTGTGGCCGAAACGTCGTGAGAATTGTATTTTATTATGCTTTTAATTTTATTATTTTATTATTTCCCTTCTACGTGACTTTACCGAAAGAACCAAGAAGACCGTTAGGTGTCCACTGCGCATTTCGTCATTTGTTTCCACTTTCCTCTCTGTCTTGTGCCAATGTTGCTAAAATAGCGCCACATATTTCTAGCGCCATACACAGGTCGCAATATAAAGCAAATTGTCCGCTGTAATAAAATTGAAACGCACGTTACGCTTGTCAAGATATCCCGATGAATCAATAAATCTAAATCAGCTCAAGCCTCCGGTAAATCACGTGGCTTGTGTGGCTACCACCATTCTGAATCTCTCCCGTCTCTCCGCCCTCCTTCTGTGAAAACAGACGCTGCTTCTTCGTGCACCTCACTTCTGCACGATCCTCCCACTCTTCATTCCCGTCTTGTGCTCAGACATCTTCACCGGGTCATTCCTTCTCCTCCCCTTCCTGCCCTTGGCGACCAGACGCTCCTACTTTCTTCTTCCTGCTGCTCATCGCTTGACATTTTGGGCCTCTGGACCATTGCTCAGCAACCGTGATTAAACAAATGCAACAAAAAAAACTTGCTTGGTATGCAGTTCTCTATGCGTTTTAGCAGTGCTCCCTGTTGGTGGAATTCACTGCAGCCATCTTGCTTACTGGTGAACGTATGTTTCTATGATGCATTAGTGTCCTATTTAAATCCTGGGCTACAAAAACGTGGGTAGAGCCACATAAATCAGCCTCCTATGTGACTCATATAAATGCAGTTTTTAGTTAGTGTATTGGGTAAGGGCAGCCATATTGAAATACAATATGGCCGCCATCATTTGTCATTGGCTTCCTCTGAGCCAGACTAATTGGAGGAGAGTAACCATCTGGGCACGGCAAATGTCAGGCATAATTGATAAATGACAAAACTTAAATCACATTTACAAGTAACACCTTGCACTTAAAATCTAACGCGTACATTTAATTACCACCGAATAACGTAATCAGCCAAATTAAATAGTTTTATTTTCATTTAATATTTACCATTAACACTTCAAACATCCGAGTCACCGTCGCCATGGAAGGTTAAAGGGATTTGTTTAAAGAAAAATGTTTACAGCAATTTATTTGGAAAACTTGATTTTGATCGATTTGGCCTGGGGTAGCGAGTTTCCCGATTGTGTCAGCCCCCCACTTGATCCACTAATGATGCCCTTACTAACAATATTTTCTCCAAAATTCAACAGGTTTGATTAATTAGATATCCAAGTGTACGCATTTTTAAAATAAATGAAATGTATTTAACTTTGCAAGCGTAACGAAATAAGTTTTGAGTTAGTGAACGCCTTTCACTCGCCGTTTTAGGACAAATCTTCTAAACTGCCATACGAGAGCAAGATGTGAGTGAAAGATGACCGGAAGCAAGCCCGGTGTGGATGATTGCAGATTGCCACGTCCGTACGCTCATAGCTTAATTAGCACATGGACAGTGTTCATCCCAGACGTTTTTTTCTTAATAATTTAATTCTGCATATTCTGGCTGAACTATGCCTGCCGTTGAGAGGTTTACTGTACAGAAGCTAGCATTTCCCTGCGACTCGCAGCTTCATTGGCACGCGAACAGCGTTCATCCCAGAAGTATTTTTTGTTACTTTTTCATACCCACAATTCTGTCTGCCCGGTGTCCACCTCAGAGACGCTTCACTGTATATTAATCTAGCGTCCTGCCCACGTGTTCTTATTTTTCATACCCTTCTAACCTCTTGGCAGACTCGAAGGGGAGGGAAAGTGATAGATTGTATCCTACACGCCCCCTCACCCCCCAAATAAACAGGGAGGTACAAGTGAATTTCCATTAAATAGTAAGAGGTACTCATTAACACAGACTTCATACTGTTAACGTATTGCCTATAATACATTAACAATCCAATCTAATAATTCACGTCTTTTTTCATTCCATCGCTATACGTACGTACGTTGAACTTCTTTCACGCCGTACATAGCCAACCATGCCAAACGGAGGTGCTGAAGGTCCTCGCCATTCGGCGTCAATCATGAGGGTTGCTTGATCATACGTCACCACGCTGGTTAGTGTGGGTAGGTCACCACAGGGGTTCTGAAATCACTCGTCACTGATGTTGGCCTCAGCTGGCAATCGAGCACATGTCATTGGGGTTCACAGCGTAAAATAACTCGTCAGCTTTCTAGTCCCCTCTAGAACATTAGAATTTGTAATCACTCGGCCACGACCATCTGTACGTATGTATGTTGATCTGCTTTCGACGCCGTAGATAGTCAACCGCGTTAACAGGAGATGACGAAATTTTGGGGCATAGCAGCCTTTTATTTGACGACTAAGACATTTCCACCACGGCAAGTAGACTGGAGTTATGATCGGTCTGAAGTCACGTGTAGCCTTAGGTGAAAACAGAACTCATCGACGGGGGAAGGGAAATAGATAACACGATGGTCAGATATGTATACAGCTCAATTACCGATACGACCCATGGATTCAATCTATTCCGGATGCCCGTCAGCAGATACGTACGCGAAATAGCCTCTGTGCAGCGTCGGAGCGGCTAAGGTTACGCTGGGGTGTGAATTTAAGCCACGTGAGTCAGAGATGTTAATGCAAGACCTCTTGAAGTTGCGTACGATACGATATCTCCTCTTGTGTGCAACCTTGAACGGGAGTGCTGTTTGATCTCTCCGCTCGAAACGTCGCCTGTTATTATTATAATTTTATTTATTCTTTTAATAAAATATTGACACATGCGTTGACGCTTTTTGTTTGTTGTGCTCCTGCGCCACTGACAATGGGGTATCATGAAGAAATAAGTATAACCAGTAAAAACTAAGTTTTTCACTCTAAATCCTTTATATGCATGGCGGCTAGAGTCCTCTCGTCCTCTGGCTTGAGATGGCTGCCACCTATGGGTCAGATGATTGCCTGCCACCATTAAGCAATTGGTAATTAAATATTTAATTTGTTTTCCCTAAACAGTGTAACATTTTTGGAAAAAAAATTCACGAACATTAATTGTCTCGCACAACGAGTCTGTGTGGAAAATGTCAGCTCGATTGGATCATGGGAAGTGGGTTAAAAAACGACCGAAAGATTTGCACGGTCGTAAGCAAGCAAGCAAGCACGCAAGCAAGCAAGCGAACTTAATATAAAGGATTTAAAAAAAGCGTCTCATTTTGGCACCGGATTCAGCGTGGGATAGTTCCCAGATATCTTATCTAACTTTATATTTATAGGGCGCCTTTATACCTCTCAACCGCCCCCTACTTGTAAGGCTTAACGGAAACATGGCATATTCATTGACCGAAATTGGCATGAGCAGACCGTTGCTACACTTGCTAGAAAATTAAAAACCGGTTGTCTCCGTGAAGACGAGACACACACCTGGCGTATTTTTTTTAAACAGCTCACCGGGGCTAAAAAGCAAGCTATATATTTCTTCAAGGACTTTGGTACGGCGAAGATTTTACCACCACGAAATGGGGATACCAATTTGCCATGGCCCATGGGATAGATAAAAGCGATGTTGGCCTCAGGAAGCGGGCCGAGAGTCACGTGCTGATTTAATAAGCACTGCCAGTGGCAATAGAGAGGGCACGTTGAATTATTTTGGGGGGGGGGGGGGGGAAACAGAAACCTTGACATTATGACTCACAATATGTTGCGGATATTGAACGAGAAACTGCACGCAATGTAGTTTAATGTTTATGGAATACATTTAATGGGATCTTAATGGGAACAAAACAACAACAACAAATCATGCAATGTCAACAGCATTAGGAGCAACATTTTCGGAAATAAACATTGCTGACCGAGCAAACTTAACATTCGTTGTGTATTGCATGTTTAAAGAGCAATACGAGTAACAACGTGTATGTATTTCCGTACACTGGCATTCATGTATACGTAACTCATATTCAAGACACACACACACACGTGTGCACCGCGTGTAATATTATGGGTGGTCAACAAGGACGCCGTAAATCGGACGTGAAAATAATGTGGACCCACAATTGCTACATTATATATAGATATGTCGATTGGTTGTTTAATGTTAAAGTGTTACATAAACCGGCGAACTGGATCATCCCATCATCGCTCCAGGGTCGATAAAATAAATACCACTTTGTAGGAATGTCCTATGGACATACTCACCAGTGCCATATGAATGTGGAATTTCCACCACTGGCTCTGCGCTGTATACAGGAGATGAGCACCAATGCGTATTTGAGCAGGTATCACTTTTTTAAGTTAAATGAGGTTTGCAATGGTTATTGCACCGCACTATGAACCCAGCGCCCCAACTTCGATTCCCTGCCACGGCTAACATCAGTAGCGCGTGATATCCGAACCGCTCCTGGCCACTCTCTAACCCCTTCCACCAACCCATTCTGACCAACATTATGAAGTACAGATCAGACTTTCCCCCCATGACCGAAACGAAATGGGAAGTCCTCCTTTCGGCGGTGGATTCACAAAGGGCCGGACATCACAAATCAAAATCAATGTTAAACTATCGCCGTCCAGTGGAGTCATACAAGCGTATGGTGCAGCGAAGCCACTGCTGGCCCACGCCAATTCCGGTGGAAAGTCATATCGACGCGAGGGAGCTCAAGAGGGCTTCTCGAGATGGACTTTGGCCAACAAACCCAAGCTCTGAAAAAGGTGCGGGTACCCACGTTTCACCCCATCACACGTGGCCTGCCGATCAACTGATTGGCAGTTAACACCCCTGCGTGAACGGAGCCGGCGGTGGGGGGGGGGGGTGTTCGGGGGGGATTTAGGAAACTTGCCCCAAATTGTTTCAAATGTCACGACGGGAAATTGAGTCGAACCCCCCGCGACTGCGAGTCCAACACGCTGCAAACCAAGCCCCGCTCCGCCACTGTGGCGGCATCCTCGTGTAGCCAATCAGCCGGCAATAGCGTAAAGAGCACGTTTGTAATCAGCACTCGGAGACATTCATTACGATGCCCACGTGTCTTTGTGCTTCATGCCTGTTGTATCAGCGACGTTGCCATCATTTTTTTCTCATTTTTAAACTAAGTAATTCTACGAACGCATTCTATTCTGCTGGGTGGACAGAATGATGTGTTCTATGAATGATTTATTAAAACGCATTAGTCACAACACCCTGCTTATGACGACAGAGCACCAAATGTCGTACGAGGGATACGCCATGCACCAAACATCCGCTAAAAAAATGATTTTGCTGTTGTTTGAAAGAGCGTGACCTGAATATGTTAATGGCCAGAATGAAGAGCTCGGCGACAACCACCACCTCACTGCCATCTGCGAGTCGCAAAGCATTCAATTGTTTGGATAAGGCGATTAGAGAGAGAGAGAGTTGGGATCGCACGCCATTCATATATTCTACCCGTAGCGGCAACTGGACGACAACCGTGCACGTGGCCAGCGTGATGGGAGAGGCACCAACGGACCACCGAAACTCGGCTTGGATAGACAGAGACCAGATTACAGATTTGCCGCAAACAGTAAGTAGAATGAAAAGTGAAACACATCTGCTTAGCGTACAAAAACCAACACGACATTTCCATGCAGAGAGCCCCGTTAATCCAGGCTCAACGGCTTTGCCCATGTTATGATATTGCATAATTCATGCGTAAACATGGTGGCGTAGATAAGCAGGCACAAACAATACAAATGGGCAAAGTGTCCTATGGAATGCTGCCATCAGTTATCGCAGTTTCTCTCCCTTATTCAATTTGGGGTTGGGGGGGGAAAGCGACGTCATCATCGTAACCGTAATGAACGTCTGTGAAAAGAGCTTCATAGCTCATCGGATTCCTCCTGCTGTCGAAGTAAAGATTCTGATAGTTGAATCGTTTGAGATAGGCAGCAACACAACGTCATATCCATCACGCGCATATCGTCAACGGCACAAGCAATTTGGAACCCATTATGTGGCCCCCTAGACCCACTGAGCCTTACATGAGTAGAATTTAACAGGGGGGGAGAGGGAGGTCTAAGTCCCTCCAGTCCCTAAAGACAAAGATCCTCTGGATAGCCGTAACATACGTTTGGGGCAAGTGCTGTTAGCGAGCATCTATGAAGACGGGCACGGCACACGAGGGGGTGGGTGGCCAACACCTCGCGCGGTCGCCTATGTTTGCCAAGTGGCGATGTTTACACATCGTACAAGGTACTCATTTGAGGCTGAGTCGACCTTGGAGAGGCCGGTTGAAATAAATATGACAGGTGGTGGCCGTGAGCTGGAATCGAACTCGGGTGGCCCGGGTTCGCAGCGCGGCACATTAAGCACTCCACTAGTAGTCCAAGACAAATAATCCCCCTGCGAGCCGTAACAGACATTTGTGGGAAGGTGATGTTAGCGAGCACCTGTTAAGGTCTGCACGGTGCACGAGAGGAGTCATTGAGTACGAGGTAATCATACGAGGCCGAATGAATCCGGGGCGAGCGACCCAGGCCAGATTCCGAAAGCGCTTGCCACCGACGCTCGCCGTGGTCGGGAATCGAACTCGAGTCATCGGCCTCGTAGTGCGGTGCGCGAACCGCAGCGTTATCAGCGCTCCCCGTGGACGAAGAACGCACGTGCGCGCGCTCGAGCAGGTACGGGCGCGCGCGAGGAAACGGACAGGCGCGCGCGCACCACACGTGTGTGGGGAGCGGTAGTGTAGCGGTTAGCGCGCTGCGCTATGAACCCTCGCGACCCAAGTTCGATTCCCGCTCACGGCCAACACCAGTGACGATTATCTTAACCGGTCCTGGGCCTCTCCTAGGTCGACTCAGCCTCAAATGAGTACCTGGTGCGGTGTGTAAAACATCACCACTAGGGAGACAAAGGCGGTCGGGCGTGGTGCTGGCCAGCCACCCCCTCGTGTACCGTTGCGGCCTTCATAGGTGCTCGCTAACAGCACTTGCCCCTACAGTCTGTTGAGGCTATATGGGGGATCTTTGTCGTGTGCGCGTGTATGCGCGTGTGTGTGCGCGTGTGTGTGCGTGTGTGTGCGCGTGTGTGTGCGCGTGTGCGTGTGTGTGCGCGTGTGTGCGCGCTGCGTGCGCTCCCTGGCCGCCTCTTCTTCATAGCGGCAGTACAGATGTGCCGGCCCCCCACCCCCCCAAGAGCACGGCTCAATATAGCCGTCACTGTAATGCAGGTTGTAGTGCATGGCAGCGAGCTGGGGGCGCGACGCGTGACCTTCACAAGCTTCACAGGGACGGCGCGTGCACAGAGCGGCCGATGTGCGATGGCAGCGCGGGATCAGGGTCGGCGCGAGGGGCGATGGGAAACCTGCCCGTGAAAGCGGGAGATTTGTGGTTAGGTAAATAAAAAAAATAACCCTTCTTGGTTCTTTCGGTAAAGTCACGTAGAATGGAAAAAATAAAAAAATAAAACATAATAAAATAATTATCACGACGTTTCGACAGATCTGTTCATCACCTGAGGACGGCTGCTTGCGTTGTGGCCGAAACGTCGTGAGAATTATTTTATTATGTTTTATTTTTATTATTTTATTATTTCCATTCTACGTGACTTTACCGAAAGAACCAAGAAGATGAACCCCTGCAGTCACGAAAGCTTTAAATCGAAAAAAAATAACATTTGAAATGAGCGAAGCTGGCCGTTGCTACGACGCAGACCCCCTTACAATCCGGCGACGCAGAGGCTGGTTGATGGATCACGACGATACTTTTTGCTGTAGGAGGCAGTGCCGACAAAATTGGGAATCCCAGATATTGTCGACGAGGGCTATGGGGTGTCTAGAAGATGGCAATGCAAGCGGTGGCTTCTTGAGTCTGTGTGACGATGTGAGCGCTATTCCGTTGCGTGCAGAGGTCTTTCTCCGGGACACTCCAGGTTCCCCCGATATGCGAATCAATGTGGAGGAATTGACCAAACATTCCAAATGCAGGACCTTCAAGGGAAATACTGTAGTCTGAGACTCAGGCTTTCCTGGGTAATTAAATGGCATTACTTATTTAACTGTTTAGTTCACGAAAGAATTGTCCAAATGTTCCGGTGCAGTATCCTCTTGAAAAAGAGCATTCAGATTCAGTCAAAACTCCCGATAAATAAATAAAAATATATCTTAAATGCGGCTGCCTGTATTCATACCGAAGATCTCATTTGCAACTGGCTCAGCGCGCAGACATGGGCATTACGATTAGCAGGGTGACGCAGTGGTAACACTTGTAACCTCACAGCATGAAGGACCTGGGTTCGAACCTGACCCGAACACCCTTCTGCGTGGAGTTGTATGGTCTCCCCCCTGCTCTCCGCGAGCTTTTGGTCCGGGTTCTTTGCTTTCCACCAAAAACCAAAACGCACGCAATGCCATTGACGTTCGCCAAACGTCCCCAACGCAGCGATGAAAAACCAGTCTTCCGACTCGGTGTGGCTTTCCTGTGTGAATAAGTAATAGCAACTATTGGATTATAAGTATCATTGCAAGCCATGGTGGCCTAGTTTTCGAGTGTGCAAGCCGGTACAATTGTACCAGTGGGCCCCCAGGTGCATGGAGGATGATCCACGCACGCCACCAGCCAACCACGCCGCGTCGCTGGCATGCCACGCGCCGTGTTCCATACAAGGGATTTATCATTTAAAATAATAGCCGGTTTGCACGTGTGCCAATGTTGCCCTTCACCAGCTGCAGCCAGTCTCATCATCATCAGCAGCAGCATTATTATTAGCATCGCTGCTTCATTCCTCGGTTCTTGCTCCACTCTACAGCAGCCAAAAGTGGCTCCATTCCAGTCCGGCGGACGCTAATTTTTTTTCCGCTTTGCCTCTTAACGCGTTGCTCTGTGGGGTCCTGCCAGGGCGGGCGGGCGCGCGCGTGGCTGCCCTGTGGGCTTAGGAACGCGCGTAGCCCGCTGCTGCCACCCGCCGCCTCGTGTGGGTGGATCGTTGCTCAACGTCGCGTTGCAACAGCTGCTCGCACATCGAGCAACGCGGTCCTTGAATTCAGCAACGCGGCCGCGACTTCCCGTTCGAGCACAGCGAAACAACGGTCGATTGATGAAGACGTACACGAAGCTTCGTCAGCCGGCTGCTGCTGCTGCTGCCGCCACTGCTGCTGATGATATCATGGATGAGAGAGATGGGGCTGCTCCATCATAATCGTTTTTAAAAGAGCATCATCATCATTCCCATCAGCAGTGCATCGCCGCCGTGATCATTAACATCAGCAGTACATCATTAACATCAGTACGTATTCGTCATTATCAGCAACTAATCATTCACATCAGTAGTGCATCGTTGTCATTAATATCAGTACATAATCATCATTAACATCAGTAGCATATCATTAACATCAGCAGTGCATCGTCATTAACGTCCGCAGTAGTTCCAACTTCATCATCCACTACCTTTGATTATTATTTTATATTACAGATGATGAAGAAGGACCTGCTGTTGATGTTGTTGATGATGGACTGTAGATGATTATTACGGAGCTGCTGCTGTTAAAGATAATAGTGGAGATACATCGATGATTATTTTAATTGTGCTGTTGCTATTAAAGATAACGAAAGAGGTGCTGCTGATGATGACAATGACGGTGAAAGTGATTCTGAATCTGCCGTTGATCGCGATGACAATTATTACAGAGCTGCTGTCGATAATCATGATGAATTACGGACCTGTTAATAACGGCGATGATGATGATGTTGATCTGACAGAGCTGCTGCTTCTGCTGTTGCTGCTGCACTGGCGACTATACACTCGTGCTGCCCATATATCTCATCCACCAGCACGCTACAAACCGCCCTGCGAATGCATCGCACGCGCAACAAACACACGCCGCTCCTCTTCCTCCTGCTTCACGTGTCACGCGGCACGTGTTGCTCCTCGCCCCGCTGTTGGCAGGCCGAGGTCCTCAATCTTGGGCGCTGGATGCGACTGCTGCCATCCCTTCCACAGTCGGTCTCTGCAGAGACAAAGATCCCCCCCCACCCGCTATAGCCAGACCAGACTGTTGTGGCAAGTGCTGTTAGCGAGCACCTCTCTGAAGGACCGGCACGGCATGCGACTGACTCTATTAGCGTTAGCCATGGGGTGGAGATGGATTTAGGGAATCGTGTCTTTTAGATGAAGCCAACGTGATGGTTCTTTGCGTTATCACGCGACATACACACAACAAGGACAAAGACAAAGATCCACCCTATAGCAAGACCAGACTGTTGTGGCAAGTGCTGTTAGCGAGCACCTCTCTGAAGGCCGGCACGGCACACGAGCGGGTGGGTGGCCAGCGAAGAACATTTCACTGCAGTGGCGCATGCGGTGACGTTTCAAATGTTGATTTTGTCGAACCAGGGGAGAAGTGAAGACCCGGACAGGGTCGCATTCGCAAAAGTCACCTGGGGCATTAGTCTGCCAGTGGGGTGGGAGATGATCGCTGATGTGTAATCCCCAATTGAGTACTCTGCGAGTACATTTCTTATTGGGTAAATCAAATGCTCCAAGACCTCTTGGCACGAATAAAAGGGTTAATTTAAAATGATCTCCAAAATAGTTCTGTGGTGCCTTGCTTTCACAGTGCCCTGCGGGAGTTGTGAATGGACACACACCGTCTCATCACAGGGCGGCGAGAGGACAATTGAACCATAATTGGGCAAACGACTAAATTAAACCTTCTTCTTGGTTCTTTCGGTAAAGTCACGTAGAAGGGAAATAATAAAATAATAAAAATAAAACATAATAAAATACAATTCTCACGACGTTTCGGCCACAACGCAAGCAGCCGTCCTCAGGTGAAGAACAGGTCTGTCGGAAAGACAGCGTCTGAATGAAAAAAAAAATCATTCAGATGTCGTGAGAATTATTTAATTATGTTTTATTATTATTTTATTATTTCCCTTCTACGTGACTTTACCGAAAGAACCAAGAAGATGAATCCCTGCAGTCATGAAAGCTTTAAATCGAGACTAAATTAAAGTTTAGATTTAAAGCTTTCGTGACTGCAGGGATTCATCTTGTTGGTTCTTTTGGTAAAGTCACGTAGAAGAGAAGTAATAAAATAATAAAAATAAAACATAATAAAATAATTCTCACGACGTTTCGGCCACAACGCAAGCAGCCGTCCTCCTCCCTCCCAGCTTAAATAGACGCTCCAAGCCTAGGACGTGTCATTCAAACTCTGTCTTATCGACAGACCTGTTCTTCACCTGAGGACGGCTGCTTGCATTGTGGCCGAAACGTCGTGAGAATTATTTTACTATGTTTTATTTTTATTATTTATTACTTCCCTTCTACGTGACTTTACCGAAAGAACCAAGAAGATAAATTAAAGTTAACAAAAGCAGTTTCGTTCCAGTACAATGTGGTCCTGCGAATTGACTGCCAGCTTGGCAGAGTATGTGCGTTGAACTTCTTTCGCACCCTACGTAGCCAACCGTCCTCATCGGAGGTGCGGGGGAAGGACAACGAACTAAACACAAATAGCAGTTCTCAAGAAATGAGTTCTTCATTTAGATTTAAAGTGCACATCTCCAGTGGCTTCCTAACGCAGTGAGAGGAGCACTTATCCGCCTACTGTGCTTGTAAGCAGCGTGGAGTTGCCTCTCTTTCTCTATTGCAATAATGTGTATTTAAACAGCAGCGTCATCCGTGCCGACTGAATCTCACAACGCTGCACAATTCACATCACAGGCAGCTGCGTTTCGATCAAGATGTCTTCGGCGAGTTAATGCGCATTCATATAAGTAGGAAAAAAATCGGAGCACCCGGAGAAAACCCACACATGTGAGCGGGTAACACTACAAAAACACGCACACAGATGTAACAGATGGAGATTAGTCCACACGTTGCCATGCTGCCCCCTCCTGGCAGACCAGGGAATGTCACCTCCTTCACACGATTTTGTGCCATCTGCCAACCCTCGCTTCCGCACCGCTGGACCAGAGGCCACGTGTATAGCCACCACCTTCCAGGGTGTTGGGTGAGAATGGCAAAAAAACAAATGCACAAGGGCAGCAGCATGAGTCACTTACAGCAGGTTCGGGCTTGGGTGTCTCAAGAACCTCCTCCATGTCCTCTGCTCCCACAGCCTATGACAGTGACAATGAAGAACAGTGTTCGCAGTTTGGTGGATTCTTACTTGGAAGGACATAACGGAAGGAAACAAGTACGTTAAATGTATTAAACCACGAAAACCATTGGTGGCAGCCACATGAGCCGAATATCGCAGGTGGGTGAGTGATTGAGGGGGTGATTGAGTAAGTTGGCGAGCAAGTGGGTGAGTGAGCGAGCAGGTGAGCAAACGAGTTAGTAAGCGAGTGAGCGAGCGGGCGAGCGGGCGGGTGAGTGAGTGAGCAGGTGCGTGAGTGAATTGGTTAGTAAGTGAGCGAGCGAGCGGGTTAGTGAGTGAGTAGGCCAGTGAGTGAGTGGGTTAGTGAGTGAGCGAGTGGGTTAGTGAGTGGGCCAGTGAGTGAGTGGCTTAGTGAGTGAGCGAGCGGGTGAGTGAGTGGGTGCGTGAGTTAGCAAGTGGGTTGGTGAGTAAGTGAGTAGGCGAGTGAGTGAATTGGTTAGTAAGTGAGCGAGCGGGTTAGTGAGTGAGTGGGCCAGTGAGTGAGTGGGTTAGTGAGTGAGCGAGCGGGTGAGTGAGTGGGCCAGTGAGTGAGTGGGTAGTGAGTGAGCGAGCGGGTGAGTGAGTGGGCCAGTGAGTGAGTGGGTTAGTGAGTGAGCGAGCGGGTTAGTGAGTGAGTGGGCGAGTGAGTGAGTGGGTTAGTGAGTGAGCGAGCGGGTGAGTGAGTGAGTGGGCCAGTGAGTGAGTGGGTTAGTGAATGAGCGAGCGGGTTAGTGAGTGGGCCAGTGAGTTAGTGGGTTAGTGAGTGAGCGAGCGGGTGAGTGAGTGGGTTAGTGAGCGAGCAGGTGAAAGTGAGTGATCGAGCTAGTAGGTAGGTGAGTATATGATGGGCCGGGCACCAGAAAACTGTGGGTGCCGTAATCTCAGTGTGTGGGATGATCAAGGCACCGTGGTACAGCAATAGATTATTAAATCTTTCTGTGTAGAAGCTTTGGGTTTTGTCCCTTGTAACGCATCAGTTTTCTCTGGTTTTCTCTCTCGCAAGCTAAACACTCATTCGTGTAATTGGCCAAACATCCAAACTTCAGGATGCTACTGAAAAAAGAGTCTCTGGGCTCAATGCGGCTTTTCTGGAAAAAGTGCCACTATTAAACTTTACACAGTGGCACTATTGTTGCAATTATCGTTACTGTCATTCCCGTCGACCCTTTGCCAGAGCTTGTACTCATGCTCTAACATTCGGGGGGGGGGGGGGTTGCTTGCTTAATCTCTTCCTGGAGCTGCAACACTCGCCAGCCACCGCCCTCGTTTTAATTATTGACGGCAATCATCTTACACGGCATCTACAAATGTGTTCTTCCCTGCGCTTGCTATTTTAATTTGTCTCTTAGAACCAATGACGGCGTGGAGGGTCCCAACTGTCGTCATCTCGGCTGTCACACCAACACCGGGGGCTGAGCTACTCCCGTCCACGGCGCACGCGTCGTGAGCGCGTCGTGAGCGCGTCGTGCGGAGCGTCCTAAAGGTGAGGCTGCAATGTCGAGACGCCGTTGCAGAGCAATTGGCGGACACGGGCGTTCTGTAGAAAGGAGACACTCATTTTTACCCGTAAATTAGTTTTTTTTGGGTTAGATTTAGTAAATATGAAAGTGTCGTTAAACCCGCCACCACCCGGCATAGCCAATTAGTAAGTACGTAACGTACATGGAACTTCTTTTCCACGATACTTAGCCAAACGTGCTAACCGGCAGTGCGGGTGGAGGGCACAACAAGCGAAACACAAACGAGCACTTCTAAATAAATGAGTGCTACCAATGCGCCACAACACAGCCGCCCACATAGCGGGGCGAAGGGAGTTCCCGACAGTGGGAGCAGCAGAAGAGAAGTAGGGACCGGCCCGCTGAGCGAAGTTTGACTGGGGGATGGCGGTGCGGGACACATCAACAGCTTGCTACTCGATGCCTGCAGGGGCAATTTCGGCGCCATGGCATCACCACCGAACGTCAATCCCAAGGGCTGACGAGACACCCGCTGACTCGGCGAGTGGCTCCATTAAAGCCATTCTCCTCCAGCAAACAATTATACAGAATACCAAATGCGCAGTTGCAATGGCCCTCAGGCCCAGAGGTCGTCCGTTTGTCCTTCCGACCACACGCTGCGATCACAACTGAAGGGTCCCTCATCAAGAAAAGTAACATTCACTGGGTTATAATCGCTCACCACTGGACCTATTTTGCATAGACACTCTAATGGACGTCATTACTCGTGTTTTTCTTCTTGTTGTTTTCATGAGTTTGCTCGTGCGTTCATATTGTGCCTGCGGTGAGCTCTGCGAATGGCAAAGGCCAATAAAGCGTCTACTGCTGCTGCCACTGCCGCTACCTACCGCTGCGCCGCTGCTCGTATGGATGGTGGCGACTGATTGGGTCAGTGTGTGGGGGGAGGGGGCTGGAATAGTGGCGGCAGTGACAGAGATTGAATGGGAGACGAATGCTGCCAAAGTGTCACTGGTCACCTGACACACAAAAAAAGTCGACAAAACGACGTGATGAATTCCAGCCATTCTCAATCCACAAATGGTTGAAGGCCTCCCCCCGACTCTACGTGGAAGTTTTCTTCACCGTACTGCACCACCCGCCGTGGCCAGCTGCGGGTTGGTGATGGGTGATGGGGAAGAGGGCAGGACCGGTTCTCGTAACACTCGTCACTGATGTTAGCCGTGGCCGGGATTCCAACTCGGGCCGCTGGGGTTAACGGCTTAGGGCGATAACTGCTGTGTCAACGATCCACCCTGCCTCACGCACAAAGTTATACTAAATCACTGTGGCTCCCCTAAAAGCCCCCTGTTAAATTGTTAATTACGTTTGTAAAAAATGTTTGTCCTCTGTCATATTACCGGAATGGATAAGAGTGCATATTGCGAGCTATAAATGCTCTGATAGTGCCTTGTACTTGTACTGTCCACCTTTTCGCGTTCTCTGGTCTGGCACTGGTGAGACTCGGCCATAAAGAAGGCTGCTGTCTCTGGTGTAGGGCAATCAGCTTCAAAGACAATGCCCATATATTACACTGGTCAACACACTTTTTCTGGCATAAAGTATTCCAACGATTTTCAGGTAATTTTGGGGTGCTGATTCCAAATCTGGCATCAGTTTTTGTCTATCACATCAGGTTTTTGAGATGTCAAATATTGCATTTTCAATAAAAACTGCAGAAGAAAAATATTAAATAAATGTGGATATCTACATAAAATTATATTATAAACACACTATCCTAAAAATACAGCACCATATTTTAACACTAAAGCAGTCACTAACTCGCAACATCTTGCAATCATAAGTGACACAGTTAATTTCGGGTAAAATCAATGAAAATGGGGAATGCCGATAGCATAAAAATGAGATGTGATAGAGCAAATCTGAGATCAGATTTGGAATCAGCACCCTGAAATTAGTCTAAAACAGCTGCAAAAGTCCAGGCCAGAAAAAAAACGTTTGTTGACCAGTTATATCAGAGCATTTTTGTTTGCATGTTCATCAAAAGTACGTGTGGTTCATGGAGACTTGATGCCTTGCAAACGTTTTCTATTTGGTGTTTGAACATCTTACCACCTGTTTTTATTGCCAGAAAGGGTAACACCTATTTTTATTTTTCATATATTGTTTACCCTGTTTGCATTAAGTTCTGGCGTGGATTTTGTGTCACGTTCTCTAACTGCCGCCACTACCAATGGTTTGGGATGTGGTCTATGAATCTCCATGTAACTTTTTGCATTTCTACGTAACTCTATCGATCTCCATGTAACTCTATGGATCTCTATGTAATTATATCGATCTCTATGTAACTATATGGATCCCTATGTAACTCTATCAAGCTCCGTGTAACTCTATAGATATCTATGTAACTCTATCGATCTCCATGTAACTCTATGGACCCTATGCAACTCTATGGATCTCTATGGAACTCTATGGACCCTATGTAACTCTATCTATCTCCATGTAACTCTATGGATTTCCATGTAACTCTATGGACCCTATGCAACTCTATCGATCTCCATGTAACTCTATGGACCCTATGTAACTCTATCGATCTCCATGTAACTCTATCGATCTCCATGTAACTATGGATTTCCATGTAACTCTATGGATCTCTATGTAACTCTATGGATCTCTATGTAACTCTATGGATCTCCATGTAACTCTATGGATCTCTATGTAACTATATCGATCTCCATGTAACTCTATGGATCTATCTGTAACTCTATCGATCTCCATGTAACTCTATGGACCCTATGTAACTATAGATAACCGCAATGTCCTGTAACTGCCACCACTGCCGATTGTCTTGTGGCCGTGGTCGTCCCAATGCTCAACGGGGCCTTACCAACTGAAATAATAACATCCGAGTGTGTGTGTGTAAAATATCGTATTATCTCATATTTCTGAATGAAATAACCAACTCAGGAATTACCCTGAGAAAGTCATCGGAAGATTCCGCGCCGGGAGACGGAATCGCACCGGCGCTCGCTGGATCGCCGGTCCAGCGTGCGGAGCGTTACACCGTGGCAGCTGACACCAGGCTTGGCACGGAGTGCAAATATTTTATTTACGATGAGACAGAAGGACCGCCCTTACCTTTGCTCTTTCGAATCGTTGTCCTCGTTCAATCCTGCAACAACAACAAAGGGTAACATCTTCAGGGAATAAAAATGACAAACGCAGCTTTTATTCCCCCAAAAGCAAAAGCTCGGATTCGGCAAATGCAGGCGGTGTTTGCGGCGGCAGGGTCTGCAAATGTTGCCCGTCTCCGGGAGGGGATGCGTGGACGTGTAATTAGGTCCCACGGGGTGCTCAGTGATTTATTTAAAGCGAAACGGCAGCGACGTGCACAGCGGCTGGCGAGACAACATTTTCGTTGCGGCCAGGAGTTTTGAAATTCTCTCGGTCGGGGAAGGACGCCGGATGAGGAATAACGAGATTGGGGCACCGCATTTCCCCAACATCTCAACACGCTTTCCAACACAATCTCATCTCAATCGTTACAATGCCTAGGTGTGTGTATATATATTCGCTATTTTAGCCTAGGGGACCCCCTGATGACAGCTGTCCCCTGTGTGGCACTAAGTGACGTGTCGCCTGCCTGCAAGTGGGCAATGGTACATCAGTAGGAGGTTTGGGGGGGGGGGGGTTAATGTTGCTCGTGTTACTCCGATTGAGTAATCTGCAAATATATTTTTCTCACTCGAGCGATGATTCACAGATGGCCTCCAGTATTCCCTCGTTGTTCACGAACTTGCTATCCGCGATGTTGGCTACCCGCGAATCGCACCGAGTGGGCCGATGCTTCGAAAGTGTGAGGGCCAGTATGAGAATTATGGGTGGGTGGGGAAGGTTGTTCGGTGGAAGGTGGTGGACACTGCATGTGGCCAGAGGATCAGTAGGAGTTGGTTGACATTGAACGGGGAGATGTTGGGAATTTGATTTATTCAAGAGGCTAGGTAGATCAGTATGTGATAATGGATATTGAGTGAGTGGGGAAGGTGGATCAGTGTAAGATGATGGATGTAAAGTGAGTGGGGTAGGTGGATCAGGATAAGACGGACTTTGAGTGAGTGAGGCAGGTGGATGAGTGTGCGATGCTGCTGCAGGGTGAGGAGTGTGAGGAGTGTGAGGAGTAGGGGCGCTGTGCAGGATGACCACTACCTGTGTGTGTGCTATATTCTTAGGTTTTTTCGGTAAAGTCGCGTAGGTAAAAAATTAAAATTACAATTAATAAAAGTAAAATAAAATAATATAAAATAAAAATCACGACGTTTCGGAGGCAACACAAGCGTCAGTGTTGCCTCCGAAACGTCGTGGTTTTTATTTTATTTTACTTTAATTAATTTTAATTTCAATTTTTTACCTACGTGACTTTACCGAACAAAGCTAAGAATATGAATCCTTGCAGTCACGAAAGCTTCAAATCTAGAATGTGTATGTGCTGCTGCAGGGTGAGTAGGAGTGTGAGTAGGAGGAGTGTGATGACCACTACCTGTGTGCGTGTTGCTGGCGGGCGGCTCGCACTGCCCGAGTCCCCGGCAGGCGCGGAGCCCAGCGAGCTGAGCGTGGAGGGCGCCGAGGGCGCCGCGCTCCAGAGTGTGCACCGCGTTCTGCATCTGCGTGGAAACGGAGGCGGTGCGTGCACACACAGGCACGCACACACACGCCCGCATACACACATGCACGCGCACGCACGAGCACAAACGCACGCGCACGCACGCACGCGCATAAACACGCACGCACACACACGCATGCACACATGCGCTTACACGCACACACATGCGCACACATGCGCACACGCACGCACACACATGCACGCGCACGCACACACGCGCACACACACTCTCAAATATATACAAATATCCCTCGTGTAGCCTACAGATGCTGTTGGAGAAAGTGCGGTCACTAAACATGAATGAAGGCCAGCACAAAACGCCAAGGGGGTCAATGTGGCCAGCACCACGCCCAGCCGAAATTGTGTGTAAGTAGAACTTCTTTCGAACCGATCATAGCCAACCGTGCGGTGAGTCTTCGTCTTTGCGTACCTGCACGCAAGGCATATCGTCACCTGGTAGGGGTCGGCGTTGAGGTCGAAGTACTCGACGAAGCCGGTGGCGAACTCGCAGAAGAGCGAGTTGTGGCTGCTGTTGAGAGTGCGCACGCACCAGTACGTGTTGTTGAGCGAGCTCGTGCACGCGCAGAACGCGCCTCCTGTCGGAGACACGGAGAGCGGCGCTGAAGCGCACGGCCGCCGAGGTGCGTGGCCCACCGTCGAGCCGATTTCACGACAGCAGCGGCAACAACGACCGCCGCCACGGGAGGACATTTGCCGCGGAGTGAGAGGAGTAATAAACACATTCCTGCAGAGGGAGCTGGTAGGAACGTTGGGTTGCTCGGTCAATGGCCGGGGTCAACGGCGGCGTGGTGTATTCCGCAAATATGCCCGACTGTGAGGGCGGGCACAAGCCGGCGTGAGTAGGTTAAACGTTGAGTTTTATAAGGGCACCACGGGGTGATCAGCCCCTCCCCACCCAGCCCCACCCCTCCCACCCCCCACCCAGCCCCACCCTCCCCACCCAGCCCCTCCCCACCCTCCCCTCCCCACCCAGCCCCTCCCTCCCCACCCAGCCCCTCCCCACCCTCCCCACCCAGCCCCTCCTTCCCCACCCAGCCCCTGCCTGCACGACGGACGGACACAATAATCTCCTGTGGGCTGGTGGAACCAGTGGGTTCCTACCAGTATAATAGTTTAAACTAGGAGTAACGCACCGCCGCACGAGATTCGCTCGCTCCAGAGGACTCACAGGTGCGGGGAGGAACCACAGACGAGCAGGAAAGGCAGCAGCAGCAGCAGCCAGGCGCCAACAATTGCCCAAACTCTGTGGTCGTCTAACAATGAAGTTGCCATCGGCCATTTAGTGAGCGTTTACATGTCAGAGGTAAACGGAGCACCCAGAAGCAACACAAAAAAACTCGCGTGCGAGGGGGAAACACTCTATCCCGCACAAACTGAACAGGTGGAGTCGACATATTTGCTGTACCTCCTTCTCCCAGCAAGCCAGTGCATTAGTCTACCTCGACGCCCACGGGAAGGGAGTTTCGCAACATTCGTGTGGTCAACCGACCATCGCCCGCACAGTGCTGGATGACAAGCGTGCGCCAACGCCGCCTGGCGATGCCACCGAGGTGCGTGTGCCAACTTCCGAGTGTCCACCGTGGACTCTTAAAAGTTGCCCACGTTTGACCCGGACAGTCCGTGGATTGGCATCGGTGTTTTTGGGTGGCAGGAACTGATGGGTACTGATATCTGCAACGGTGGAGCCAGGATTTTCAGGTAGAGGAGGGCAACCCCTCCAGAAATGAAAAATGATAGGAGTTGATAGTAAGTAAGGAGTTGTTAGTATGTAAGGAGTTGTTAGTAAGTAAGGACTTTTTATTCGACGCGTGTGCGGCGATGGCGCAGCCATCGATCGAGGGTCGAATTCGAACCGCGTGGTGTGATCGGCGTCGCGCTCGCTGAAGGTGAATGCCTTCAGGGAAGTCGTGTACTGAACACGCAACTGCGCACAATTCTGAGTCACTTATAACTGCTTTGCCGTTACTTATTGCCAATTATGGACTCAGACTATTCTCCTATCATCTCATAGAGTCCCCGGCAAGTAATAGTATGCTACACAGTGGCAGTGGGGGTCGCAAAATGCCGATTTATTACTAATAAACCCCAATGATCCGATCGAAATTAGGGATTGCGATCGGATCATTGGGGGGGGCACGTGCCACACCACCCCCCCCTACTGGCTCCGTCAGTGGATATCTGTTGAACTTCATGACAGTACATACTGCACAGTCTTTGATAAATAGGCCGAGTGCCGAGTGAGAAATATGTCTGAGTTTTTGGTCTGCAGTGGAAAAGGTTGCAACACCTCTAGGCACGCGCACCTCCAATGGCTTGGCAAACAGCCAGTGGAAAACCACCCGTACCGTGCGGATCACGTGCTGGCTCTGCTGAGAAATGCCAGTGGAAGAGGCGTATCACTAATCACATGATGTAACTAGATTTTGAATAAAATTGGTGAAAACAAATAAATCTAACAACAACAGGGTGGCCAAAGGTCTTCGTCAGGTCAGAGGTGCATGAGGAAGACGCTGCCCGCTCCCCCTAAGTTTACACAGATCTAATTCTAGATTTGAAGCTTTCGTGACTGCAAGGATTCATACTTTTAGTTCTTTCGGTAAAGTCACGTAGGTAAAAAATGAAATAAAAATTAATAAAAATAAAACAATCAAAAATTTTACCTACGTGACTTTACCGAAAGAACTAAGAGTATTTACACAGACCTCGCAACTGCCCAGGGTGGGAGTACGGCCATCGCAACATATCAGGCTTTTTTAAAAACAGGGCTCTACATTCATAATAATATTTTTGTTAAACATTAATCGTATTTGATCTGGTAAATATCAATGAAATACCAATGTCCAGCGTCTCAACGATGGATAGTTGAGCGAGCGATCACCCCACCCTACTCCCCACCCCCATCGATCCTCCGGTGGTCCCACCACTGGCTGGTGGGCCACGTGCAAGCGCCCCGTGCTCCCGCTGGCCACTCACGAGTCCAGAAGGGGGGCGTGCGCCAGTGCTCGTCGTCGTGCGTGAAGCAGACGAGGCCCGGCGAGGCGCAGGGGGCCTCTTTGCGGACGACACGGGCTCCGTCCCTCGCGCGGCCTCTCCTGCCGCTGTCGGCCGTGTCTCCCTCTCCAGGCGCGCTGGGCGGCTTCGCTCCCCCGTGTCGCCCGCTCCCGCCGTGGCTGCTGTCGATTCGACACCGCGGCAATTTAAAAACGAAAAACACATTTTTTCACGTAGTTTTCTTTTTTTACTACCAGGTAAGGCCCCACTGAGCCAAAGAGAGGTAGATATTGGCACAAGACAGAGGAAACTGGAAACAAATGATGAAATTCACAGTGGACACCTAACGGGGTTATTTGCCCATGGATAGTGAGGGTGATGATGAAGGCCCATTGAGCTATACAGCTCTTGCCCAGAAGCGACATGGACTCAAATGGTAGCTCAATGAAGTGGCTTATCGTCACGTGGGAATTTATCGCAGCCAAATACTCTAACACGCACACGTTGCTTCTAAATGTGGAGAGAAAACCCGGAGGACCCGGAAAAAAAATCCACGCGACAACTGCAAGACAGATATGCAAGTTCCAAATATATAGGCGTCAGGATTGGAATCGAACCCATGACCTTCCTGCATACCAGGCGAGGGAGATAAAATCTCAAAGGTGCAGCCTATGCAAATGCTTGCAAATACCACTGCTGGAAGATGAGACCTCCACTGGAGGGAGCTCAATTGAGTCTGTCTTGGAATATGTGGGAATACCCACACTTTACCCCACTCACATGCCACCTGCCGATGGATTCTCTGCGGTGTGTATCGACTTGAGGCGGTGTGGATTTAATAAACTTGCACCATTGTTTTAAATACCACGCCGTTAGTTCGAATCGAAATGGAAGAGCCCTGGATTGCAAGTCCAGCGGGCTGACCGTTACAACCACGGTAGGTCCGAACGAGTGGATAAACGACACTGAATTATAAAAAAAAGAACAAAACATATCGGTTGTCATTATTACAGCACTGCCACACAACAGAACGTCATGTAACAGGCTGATGTTTCTGGAAAAGGGCCATCTTTTATGGAAAGAGAGAAGGGCTGGAGGTTGAACTTTATCCTGTTGGGGAGGCCTTGAGAAAACTGGGCAATTCTTAGACAATTTAAACATTAACAGCTTTGACTAATGAGCAGTTTTCTATTCGTGAACAATTAGGATCACGCAAACTATTGCCAATTCTCTTTGATACAAATAGCTAAAATGTACACGCACTCAGATATGTATTTTCCAACTCCTTTAAGGGATAATTTGCTGATCAGTATCTCCTAATGGAAACCCGTTCAATGTCAAATCAAAACAGTTTGCGTTTCCATCACGGGCTCTCTCAGAAGCTGCGTTCTTCACTAAAAATGTTCAAAGGGAGGAGCCACTTTCGCCGATAAGACATCATCAGTGTGAGCACCGCCACACATTCGAAACCGTCGGGGTTTGACAGCAGCAGGATGGTGACGGGGAGTGTTGTCACGTGTGTTTTCACGTGTTGTGTGCTGTCACGTGTGGTGTTGTCACGTGGCGTGTGTTGTCACGTGGTGTGTGTTGTCACGTGGTGTGTGTTGTCACGTGGTGTGTGCTGTCACGTGTGGTGTGCTGTCACGTGGTGTGTGTAGTCACGTGGCGTGTGTAGTCACGTGGCGTGTGTTGTCACGTGGTGTGTGCTGTCACGTGTTGTGTGCTGTCACGTCTGGTGTTGTCACGTGGTGTGTGTTGTCACGTGGTGTGTGTTGTCACGTGGTGTGTGTTGTCAGGGGCCACACTAAAGGCCACCAGGGGCCGCTAGTGGCCCTCGGGCCTTGCAATGAAGGACACTTCACTTTAGAAACACACGGGGCACTATGCCCCCCCCCACCCATACTTTCCCAAGACACCCCCTACCCTCCTCCGCTCACATGCCCTTCCTCTTCTTGCGTATGGCAATTCTATTCCAAAGCAAAGGTTGATCACAGTTTTATTGTGAGGTGAGAGATGGCGAGGTCGATCGCTGATGCGGCTGCTGCATCGAGATTCCATAACTTGGCTCTCCAGAAGGCAGTACAGCAAGTAAACTCATCGGCATCTGTTACCATCTTTATGGGAATCGAGTGTTGCCCCCTCGCACAAGGCGTGGGTTTTCGCCGGGTGCTCCTGTTTCCTCCCACGCGGTTTAAACAACCCGCGAATTGTCGGCAAACATCTTAAAATAAAAAATAACCCAATGTAGTGGGTAGGACCCTCCCGAAAATGAGTCCAATGACTCAGTGTGGCTCTGAATTTATCCTGGATAAATTCGCGTGTGCGCGTGTTTGCGATCGCTCTTCATTACCTGTTGTCATTGCAGTTGCAGTCGGTGGGTCGTGAACTCTTCAAGTGACCTCTGACCTTTCTCAGGATCTTCATTCGCGAGTGAAGCTCTTCAATCTGCCACGGGGGGAGGGGGGGGCGAGAGACGGCGAATTACGTTTCGCGCGCCTCTCATTCTGCTGGGCAATTCACTCAGTTGCGCGGAGCAGACTTCTCAAACATCGCACCTCCGGCTAGCACGGTTGGCTACGTACGGTGCGAAAGAAGTTCAGCATACGTACAGAATAGGCAACGGGGGAGGGTGGAGGGAAGGGTTTGTAAGCTCGTGGTGCCGATGGCGAGGACCGCGTGTGTATTTTCTGTAATACTTGGTAAATTGTCGAGTGACTGTTTTGACGACGTGCGCCCATTTACCCAGATGTTCCACTTGAACATACCCCTCGAGGTGGCATCACAACTCTCGTGGTTCCAATATCTTCACGTGTCAAATATTGGTCACTTGTGGTGACCAGCATTTGAAACGAATGGGGCTATGAACATCACTCTCTTTAGCCGTATACAGTAAGTAAATCGGTGCTACCTTAAGGTGCAACCAATTAGCGCTGTGGCCCTTGAACGAAATGTCTTATCTAGCGCCATATACGCAATGTTTTGAGGTTCGTTGGGCGACTTTCCCCATTGAGGAGGCGGCAACGCCAGGACTGGTGAAAGGCAGTGGGAGCCACAGCTGTGGCAGAGACGGGTAAATAACATTCGAATAAAAAATCACTGGAAAATTTTCACGTCGATACAAATTAACAATTGACCGTGCCTCGTGTAATTTATATGCAAATCATCAAATGACGTTGAGGTGTGTAATTTAGATCTCAATTACATATTATTGAAGGAATTACATTACCTACCCATACGGTATATCTAAATCAGCTCAAGCCTCCTCTAAATCACGTGACTTCTCTCCTCTCTCCGCCGCCCACTGTGAAAACAGACGCCGCTCCGTGCAGCAGCAGCATCCTGATGTAGCCTCATCCGCCCAATCCTCATCTCTCCTGCCCCTCTGCTCCCGTTTCTCCGATCCTTCTCCATCCTAATCTTGATTTGAAGCTTTCGTGACTGCACGAATCCATACTCTTTGGTTCTTTACCGAAAGAACCAAAGAGTACTTTTCCATCCTTTTTCTTTTACAATTCCTTCTCTTCTTCTTGGTTCTTTCGGTAAAGTCACGTAGAAGGGAAATAATAAAATAATAAAAATAAAACATAATAAAATAATTCTCACGACGTTTCGGCCACAACGCAAGCAGCCGTCCTCAGGTGAAGACCAGCGTCATTCAGACGCTGTCTCCCCGACAGACCTGGTCTTCACCTGAGGACGGCTGCTTGCGTTGTGGCCGAAACGTCGTGAGAATTATTTTATTATGTTTTATTTTTACTATTTTATTATTTCCCTTCTACGTGACTTTACCGAAAGAACCAAGAAGATGAATCCCTGCAGTCACGAAAGCTTTAAATCGAAAATTCATTCTCTTCTCCATTCAATTCCCGTGACATTTCCTTCAGTCGTGCATTATCACATCCTGGGTTCTACTCCCCTTCCCCAGAGTGTACAGCCACGGGCAACGACGTTTCTCGTTGACGCTACGTGTCGTGCACAAAGTGAAGACACTGCCCATCTCTCTGCCTGTGGGGGGTACATCTGGTGCCGCTGCTCTCTGCTGACTGCGATCGGCGTCTGCGAGGGAGTCGCACCTGCTCGTCCAGGAGCAGTTTGTGTCTCTTCCAGGCTCGCAGCGAGCGGTACAGCTTCACGTCGCACTGCACCGTGCTGTTCGGCAGCAGGAAGCACCTACATCCGTGGACATCAGCATCACTGTCTCCATCATCATCATCACCACCAAGCCAATAACATCATCATCATCACCACCAAGCCAATAACATCATCATCATCAAAGTGATTTCCTGACTCAAATGAGAATTGAGGTTGTGGGCACCTCGTGTTGACATCCCAGAGACAGTGCAGTGAATTCCACGAACCTATGGCAGGGGTGAGGTCTGTAATAGTACAACCGCTGATAATTGTTTTTTTACCTTTTTTTACCTTTTTTACCTTTTTTACCTTTTATCTGGCAACAAAACTGACACCTTTTTTTACGAGGAGTCATGTTTGCATAGACCACAATACCTGCAGTCATAATGCAAACAAAAAACACAACTCTGATAATGTATGCACTGTCCTTGAAGTTGATTGGTCCACACCCGAGACAGCTTTCCTTAGAGCCTAGTCTCACATGGTGTTAGACCAGATGACGCCAATTATCATATTTTTTACTGGCAAATGAGGTTCCAATGGAGTACAACCACTGTTGACTTGCTCACAAAGTGGTACTTACTTTACCGACCCTGGAGGTATGATGGGATAAGCCAACCCCCCTCCCAACCAGGGTTTGAACTCGCAATCTTCCAATTGTGAGCGGCTCAGGCCCACGAAGCCACCTGGCCAGGCATCGTCTGCCTGGTCAATCCACTGCTGGTGACTGCACGAATTCCTCCCTAAACTGCCACCACCTCTCACAATCCTGCGATGTACTAATCCATCCAGCACTTGCACTTGATGGCATTGTATTGCTCCATCTCCTTCTGAGATGTCCTCTCGGATGCGTTCTGTACTGTAAGTCATGTTTTGCAGAGGGGGTCAAATACTTATTTCCCTCATTAAAATGCAAATCAATTTATAACATTTTTGACATGCGTTTTTCTGGATTTTTTGTTGTTATTCTGTCTCTCACTGTTCAAATAAACCTACCATTAAAATTATAGACTGATCATTTCTTTGTCAGTGGGCAAACGTACAAAATCAGCAGGGGATCAAATACTTTTTTTCCCTCACTGTATGTTCGATACCGCTCTGTTATTATTTTTTGACAAATCGTCCAATCATTCCACGATTCTTAATTAAAATAAAATCTGATATCTAGTGATCATCATGATCGTTATCATTCATAATTGTTTCATCAATCATAGCGATGGCCTAGCAGAAGCGCGTTTGCCACTTGTTGCAGAGGTTCACGGTCCAGCGACCCCCCCCCCCTGGTTATTTAGGTATTTAGGGGCGTCCATAAATGACGTCACGCGATTTTGGACGATTTTTGACCCCCCCCACCCTCTTCGTCACACGACGTCACAAAAACTCAGACCCCCTCCCTCAAATATGACGTCACAAAGCTCTGCCCCCCCCCCCCCCCAAAATAAAACATGCTTCAAATCGCTTTAAACTATTGTCATTGTAGTGCGTATTTAATGTGGCGCTGCTCTCTGATGTTGTAGCAGAAAACATTTATTATAAAGTCTATTTTTAATTAAGTAAAACGTGTTGTCTATATTTATTTAAAGTTGCGCATTTTGATGTGACGTCACATTTATCAAACCTCCCCTCCCCCCTTCGTCACACATCGTCACAAATTTCTGACCCCACCCCCCCCCCCAGGTGCGTGACGTCATTTATGGACGGCCCCTTACGCGTTGACTCCGAATCATTGATTGCAACGCCTGGGCCAGCACCTGTGTGTCACCGGAGTCAGCTGTGAATCTTCTAACCGCGGCTTCTTCCCTCTGCGAGCTTTCCGGTTGCGTCTCGCTCTCCTGGCTGTCTCGGTGTCGCCGCTGCGTGCCGTGCTGCTGTTGCCGCTGCTGCCACCGCCGCTGCCACCGCCGCCGCTGCTGCTGCTGCGTCTGACTCGGCAGTGACACCGAGCACCAGGGCTCCCCACGTCAACCGCAGCCGCATGGCGCCGTGTCCTGGCCGAACTGCGTCGCTGCCACCCTCCCGAGCTCGCGTCTCCTAGCCGGGGCCGGCACTTTGACAGCCTCGGTCTGCCCAGTTTGTCCTCCGTGCAGTGCAGCCTCTGAAGTACAGCCGAGGGAACAGCACAAAATTAAATGCGTTGGTGGTCCGGCGAGTGGATTCGTTTCTATCTGTAGTCCATCTGTACAGAGTTCGAGTGTTTCCACCCCCTCTCCAGCACCACCCTACTCCTCTCCTCGCAAAAGTCTTGTTATTTGAGTTGCTGAACCCTGGCCGAGCAGTCGCGTGTTCGTGACTTTGTTGCGGCTACTCCCGGTTATTAACTGTGGGTGCGATGACCTTACTAGCTGCCGTCCGCTTCAACGTAGACGTCCAACATCGAATGACGTCAATCACAATGATCTCAGGTCTTCTTTTAAATATAAAAATTATATATGATTTCATTGGCCTCTTGTCTGGTTATGTATAAAAATCACGGTCATTCACACACAAGTCCAATAGATAACGCACGGCACAAATCTCGTTTACATTTCTGACAATGTCATGAAGGCAGAGAGCGTCGGTTTGTCAAAAATCGAAGTGGGTGGTTTCGGTTGGCTGCCCTGGCAAGTGATGCCAAGTGTCCCTTACCTGCCCTGGCTGCAGGCACGCTGTCCTGTACTCGGATAGCTGGCACAGTGCCCTGATTCTGTCCCATTTGGACTCCCGTTTCCTCTCCTCCGGACCACCTCCTTGGTCTTTGAGATGCGGGATCTTGCTGCAAGGACACGCGGTAATGGTGAGGCGCGCCAGCGATACCGCACGAAATACAAGGGCAGGCTCTCATCATTTCACTCATTCACTCAAACGTGTTTCGCATTGGATCTTTTGCCGTCGCTTATAACGAAATTAATTCAATTAAGTGAAAGCCCATTCCAGGTCATGTTATCACTCGTACAGGACACGCTTGGGGAAATGATGATTTTTTTTTCATAATGAAGAATGATCGCAATTTTTTCGGAAACATTTTTTTGCAATGTAATTGTATTTAGACAATTAAAACCGGGTCGTGACATTCGCGTGCAATAGCTTACGTAAGCGCCCGGTGCCTTTCTCACAATGAACCCATCGGTTGTTGCAAGGTCTTGAACATTTATTCTCCGACAACGCGGGGGGTAATTGAAGCAGTGCTGCATTTGGAAGTGGATGAGCGATGGGCGTCATAAGCACTCAAAAATAGAAGGGACTCGGAGCTTCCTTGATAAAATTAATAAATATAGTATTTCAATGGCCTCTTATCTCATTATGTAAAAGAACCAAATACGTTTTACTCCTGTGATACATACACACATATTGAAAATGTTCCAACAATAATACAAAAAAACGTTGAGGTGGATTGGTGGCGCAGCAGTTAGCAGGCTGTATCTTGAACCCGATCCCCGGCCACATCTATCGCCAGTATTGATCCCCACCCCTTCTGCAGCCCGCACTGACCAGCATGGTGAAGTATGGTCAAAAACCCTCATGACTGGCACAGTGGGGGGGGGGAGGGGGGTGCAGAGAGGGGGGGGCTATATCCAGCAGTGGATTGACAAAAGGCTTTAAACGCACTTTAAGTAGCTCAATAAAACGTTGATGGAAACAGTCAATTACATTGAGGACAAAATAACGAGTAAAATATATCGTAAAACAAAAGCGAACTTTAATTGAAAAAAACCCTCTATATTTAAAAATCCTTGGCCGCCTTACCCTCTCTCGACGAGAAAGCTGTCCCTCCATGACACGCGTCTCTCGATTTCCTGACGGAGCGGTCTGCCGGGAAACAAACACGGGGGGCAGCGTCGTGAGCAGAGGCCTTCGAGAACCTTTGAGTCGAAGCAGAGCTTCGTGAGTCACCCCGGCCACCGGGGCAAGGTCTTCTCCGCGATTCGAACGATACATCGTGCGATAACCAACGGCCACGGTTGTCATATCGGCCGGCTTGCTAAATGTCTTTAAATCGTAATTCATCATTATGCTCTATTTTATTCCTTTTTTCCGTACATGTAAAATAAAAAAACACAGTTATTAAAGTATTAAACAACCAGACGCGGTATTACCCACTACATTTGTAACTCTGTTAAATGATTCCCGGAGTAATTGACGGCATTATAATTAGATGACCTCCTAATTGCTTTCAGTAAAAAAAAAACGAAGTCATTGTTTTGTGTCACTAACAGCCGGCGCATGATGGGTTGCAAAGTTGCAACGATTCAGCTTCCCATGCCAGGCTTATGTCGGGATAAACTACGGTTAAATAAGTGTTCAATCATCTTTATTTGCACCAGAAGTTCAGAAAGGCACAGGAAGAATACGAATGGTATCACGATAATCGGCATTCCGTGAGCCTGAATCTCATACCATCTCGTCGTGTTCAAAATAATATCACGGCAATCCAAGTTACATTCCTTGTACAAAAGAAACTAATGGTACCACCGAAAGTTGTCCCGATTTATTTATACGGTTAATGAGAGTAAATCACTGGATAACCCCACGCATTTCTTATGGTGGTCACATAGTTCACACCGTTATTGGCCAGGTAAAGAAATTGGAACCGTTACAACGATGCCACCTCAGATGGTACTGACAAGTGAATAAACGCCCCTTCAACCATGAAGCAGTCCCAGAGGTCGCAAACGGGTTTTGATTCCTTACCCTTACCCGGCCGCACCAGGGTCGCAAATGGCTACCCGTACCCGTACCCGGCCGAGTACGGGTACCCGTTCCCTACCCGTACCCTACCCGAAATGAGTGACAAACAGTGACTCACCAGTGACTCACGGCCTACCCGTACCCGTACCCGGTCGCACCAGGGTCGCAAACGGGTACCTGTACCCGTACCTGGCCGGGTACGGGTAGCCGGGTATCGGGTAGGGTACGGGTATCGGGTACCCGGTTGCGACCTTTGAGCAGTCCCATCCTCCTTACGCTCCTTTCTTTCCTCCTCTTCCCTCCCCTCGCCCCTCCTTCCCAGTGCACTAACCACGACATTACTGCTTCCCACTCACTCACTCACCCTCCTCTCACTCACTCACTCTCCCATCACTCACTCACCCTCCACTCACTCATTCACCCTCCACTCACTCACTAACCCTCCTCTCACTCACTCACTCACCCTCCACTCACTCACTCACCCTCCTCTCACTCACTCACTCACCCTTCACTCACTCACTCACCACACCGCGATTCGAAACACTCCTCTACCGTTTTCCCTCGCACCGCTGCACTTTTGGAATTCCCCTCCCATCATCGCCTATTTTCCCCAAGCTACTCACGGCCGTACTCAATTCATGGAGTGCGCTCCACTCCGTATCTGTCACGAACCCTGACGGAACCGTTTGCCCACTGGCTCGTTTACATTTTGGGGGCGAAACGAGAGACCCGGTGAACGGCAAGCGACAGCCTACGAACAATGTCACGCGATCTCCGACGTAATTCTGTGAAGCAGCCGGCGGCGGGCAGTGCCGGATTATCCCAATAGCAAAAGCAGCTACAGATGTAGTAGCTACGGGCCCCGCAATTTCAAGAGCCCCGCGCTAAATGCTATAAATTCCGGTTCAGTGATTCTGCACTTGCTCTATTGCTATAGTACTATACCGCCTTCAACTTTTATGAACGACCGAGTGTTTAAGGTTAGCGATCTCTCGTATTAATTATCTGGCTGTATAGCAAATAAAAAAATACAATTACAAATTTGCCTTTGAAATATTTAAGTGTTTCTTAGTTATTTAGGGCCCCTTTCTAACATACGCTACAGTCCCCCTGCACTCGCTTAATCCGGCAGCGGTGGAGGCGTTGCATCCGATGGTCAATTGACGCCCGCGGCAGCCGGCGAGAAGCGAAAAATCTCCCGGCGGTGCCGGCGCCCCACCGAACACCGCCGGACTGGCGCGTTCGACCTGTCGCTGGCGCGGTCGACGTCTCGCCGTGGCCACCGCCGCCGCAGCAGCTTGAGCAGCGAGCGTCCGTCCATGTCGCCGGGGATGTCCAGGCCGGCCATGTCCAGCATCGTCGGCGCCAGGTCGATGTTGAGCGCAATCTGGGGGACGCTGCTCGCGCACGCGCAAGGACGAGGATTCCCCTTGTTAGCGGGCACCTGTGAAGGCCCGCACGGCGCACTAAGGCGGTGGATGGCCAGGCACCGCACCATTTTGCACACTTTGTAGTGCAGCTAACCGCTGCACTACCGCTCTTCCACACGCACACACACACACGTTCAATATTCTGGCAGACTTCTAACCTGCTTCTGTAAACCCCATCCACTGGCTCTCAATCCAATCCCAAGGAGTTGAGAGCACCATCTCGATCCTCATCGGAGCAGGAAAGAACGTTTGACTTTTCTATTCTTAATTTCAACGTGGTTTTGCCCATCTCCGCCAGAAGCTGCATCTCCACCGCCTTCCATCGAGCCAAGCGTCGCCACCCACGAGATGGACCCATATAGTCCGTGGGGCAAGAGAAGCAATTTGTACCGCCTAAGGCTACGGGCGACCGAGTTGAGCGTGCCCGAGTCAGAGAGAGAGATGGAGAGAAACCCGGAGTGGAGTGCACGTACGTGGACCCCGGAGCGACGCCGGGCCCCCGCACGTAGAAGGGCACGCGGATGTCGAACTCGTAGGGCATGGACTTGCCCTTGACGAGGCCGAACTGGCCCAGGTGGTAGCCGTGGTCGGACGTGTAGATGACAAACGTGTTCTCCAGCTCGCCGCTCTCCTCCAGCGTGTCCAGAATCTGTGCGCACAAAGACAAAGAAACCCCCCCCCACCGTGTAGCCTTCGCAAACTGTTGGGGCAAGTGCAGTTATTGAACAAAAACAAATATCCCCCGTGTAGCCTGAAATAGACTGTAGAGGCAAGTGCTGTTAGCGAGCACCTATGAAGGCCGGAACGGCACACGAGCAGGTGGGTGGCCAGCACCACGCCCGACCGCCTTTGTCTCCCCAGTGGCGCTGTTTACACACTACAACAGGTACTCATTTGAGGCTGAGTCAACCTAGGGGAGGCCCAGGACCGGTTCAGATAATCGTCACTGGTGTTGGCCGTGAGCGAGAATCGAACCTGGGTCGCAGGGTTCATAGCGCAGCGTGCTAACCACTACAATACCTCTACAGACACACAAGCACAAAGACGAAGATCCTCCATACAGTCCACACAGGCTGTTTGGACAAGTGCAGTCAGCGAGCACCTATACACATGCATGCAGGAAGACAAAGATCATCTGTATAGTCTTCACAATCTGTTGGGGAAAGTCCAGTTCGCGAACATTCATGACGGCTGACATGGCGCACGAGGGTGTTGGCCTGGCTAGCATGATGCCCCGTCGCCTTTGTCTCCCCAGTGCTGATGTTTACACAGAGCACCAGGTAACCCTGAGTCGACCTAGGGGAGGCCCAGGATTGCTTCAAATATTTGCCACCTATGTTGGCCATGAGCGGGAATTGGACTCAATGCCAGGTTCCTGGCACAGAGCGCTACACATCTTCTCAGTCTCAGTCGCACGACTGCCTGGCTCAATCTTGATTTTAAGCTTTCGTGACTGCACGAACCCATACTTTTTGGTTCTTTCGGTAAAGTCACGTAGATGTTGGCCATGAGCGGGAATTGAATTCAATGCCAGGTTCCTGGCACGGAGCTCTACACATCTTCTCAGTCTCAGTCGCACGACTGCCTGGCTCAATCTTGATTTGAAGCTTTGGTGACTGCACGAATCCACACTCTTTGGTTCTTTCGGTAAAGTCACGTGGGTAGAAAATAAAATAAATCACGACGCTTCGCTCGCTCACGCGTTGCACGGAGTCGTCCACGGACATGAGCGTCTGCAGGCGCCGCCGCTGCAGGAGGTTGGTGAACTCCATGTGGATGGGCATCATGGGCCCTGTGTAGCGCAGGATCCAGTGCTTGTCGGGGTTGGGCGCCAGGTTGTAGCTCGGCGTGCTGCACGGTGGGGGCGGGGGGGGGGGCATAAAGGTAGGGGTCACGGAAAGGTCACAGGGTGGGTCACGTGCGGACAGAGATGGCGGGGGGGGGATGGCAAAGGCACACACAGGATGGAATGAATGGAGCTCAGTTGTAAAACGGATCCCGCTATTGCAATTGGACCACTGCGATGGTCCGCGTGCATGTTCATTTGTCCGTGGGGCAATGTGTGCGTGATGCGTACGTGTGTGTGTATCTGTTGCGGTGACAAGCCCCAGTGGCAGCGCCTTTGCCACTTGTTGCAGAGGTTCACGGTTCGAGTTCAGTTGAAGCTCATTTCTTTAGAGCTGCCTTTTGTATTTTATTTGTTGTCCTTCCCCCGCACCTCCGATGAGCATGGTTGGCTACGTACGGTGCGAAAGAAGTTTAACATGCACACAGACGCCTGTGAGTGTGTGTGTGTCTATGCCTGGTGGTGCATCAGCCAGTCATCTCGGTCATCTCGGTCAGTCGACCCGTGGCAACTGGGTCTGCCCCGTGACCTCCTGCCAGCGGCCGTTCGACACTTCACGTGGCCTCAAGGTGCACATGGCCTGGCACAAACGTCGTGGTGACGTCACCGCCACTTAGTGGCGAATGGCGGTTGTTGTTGTTGTTGTTGTCTATGCCTGGCCTGGCACAGGCGCCGTGGTGACATCACCGCCACTTAGTGGCGAACGGCGGGTACCGGTGTCTTGGCATGCACCTGTGCGTCACGTGCGCGTGGCGCGTGTAGGAGGCGTGCGTACATGTGCGTGGACGCGTTGGGGAAGAGTTCCGAGTACTGCGGGGCCGAGTCCTCGGGGCCGTGCGGGGCCGCGTGGCTCAGCACCATGAGCACGGGGCGGCCCGGGTACGTCCGCCGCGACGCTCGGAAGAAGCTCACGCTCTCGTTCGTGATGAGGTCCGTCAGGTAGTCCTGGGGGGTGGGGGGGGTGCGTCGCAAACGAGCGTTAGTTTCAGTGGCTTTTTTTGTATTAATTAACCACGAAGCCGGTTGGCGAGAATTAGATACCTTCAGAGACATGGTCACACGTATGGAGTTCGAGACTTCTTCTTGGTTCTTTCGGTAAAGTCACGTAGAAGGGAAGTAATAAAATAATAAAAATAAAACATAATAAAATAATTCTCACGACGTTTCGGCCACAACGCAAGCAGCCGTCCTCAGGTGAAGACCAGGTCTTCCCTTGTACGTGACTTTACCGAAAGAACCAAGAAGATGAATCCCTGTAGTCACGAAAGCTTTAAATCGAAATTTTAAAGTTCTAGACTTACATAGAGGCTCATTGATTCACATGGAGTTATATCAACTAATATAAGAGATGCATATTTATATCGATACGCAGATTTACCGAGACCCATAGACTCACATACAGACCTATAGACTTATTCTTTGGTTCTTTCGGTAAAGTCACGTATAAAGATAAAATAATAAATTAAATAATAGCTTACGACGTTTCGATTGCAACACAAGCAATCATCATCAGGTATAATGAAATAGCGACATAGAATATAACCAGAAAACTATAGACAGACATATAAGCAGACAGATATCACCAAGATACATAGACAGATATCACCAAGATACCTATAGACTTGCAAAGAGATCCATAGACTCACGTAGGGAATCGTAGCTTTACATAGAGACATATGGACTCATTAGAGTTCAGAGTGGTTCTCTACGTGGACGATGGTCTGGTTGAAATTTCTGCAATCTGAAGCCGGCTTCTCTCTGTGAAGACAGTGCACAGCTCTGCTGTGGGATGTGCGGATTCGATCTACCGTGGATCATTGTGTTCCAGATTTATAATTAAATCACAAAGGTTTGTTAGTGGGATGAGCAATTAGGTACTTGTTTGGGATAATTGGTGTTCGCCAAGATCTGTCATCATTTCTCACGAGGTGCAAAAGCCTTGACCGCACCCGGGCATCGATCAGCCTCCCATTATATCTGTACCACACTCACACACTTGACCACACACTCACACACTCACACACCTGATCACACACACACTCACACACTTGACCACACACACACACTCACACACCTGACCTCACACACACTCACACACTTGACCACACACACTCACACACTTGACCACACACACACACACTCACACACTTGACCACACACACACTCACACACTTGACCACACACTCACACACTCACACACCTGATCACACACACTCACACACTTGACCACACACACACTCACACACCTGACCACACACACACTCACACACTTGACCACACACACTCACACACCTGATCACTCACACACACACTCACACACTTGACCACACACACTCACACACTTGACCACACACACACACACTCACACACTTGACCACACACACACTCACACACCTGATCACACACACTCACACACTTGACCACACACTCACACACCTGATCACACACACACACACTTGACCACACACACTCACACACCTGACCACTCACACACACACTCACACACTTGACCACACACACCGAGGGGTAGTGGGCTCCGTGCTTCTCGCGAACACCGTTGTGGTTCAGCGTGTAGTTGTAGAAGCGCGAGTTCTTGACGAGGCCGAGCCACTCGCGCCAGCCGGGCGGCACGTAGCTCCCGTTGTACTCGTTCAGGTACTTGCCAAAGAAGCCTGCACACGCGCGCGCGCACACAAAGACAACGATCCCCCGTATAGCCTTAACAGACTGTAGGGGCAAGTGCCGTTAGCGATCGCCTATGAAGGCCGGAACGGTAGACGAGGGGGTGGGTGGCCAGCACCACGCACGACCGCATTTGTCTCCCCAGTGGTGATGTTTACTACACACACCGCACCAGGTAATCATTTGAGGCTGAGTCGAGCTAGGGGAGGCCCAGGACCGGTGCAGATAATCGTCACTGGTGTTGGCCGTGAGCCGGAATCGAACCCGGGTAACCGGGTTCGTAGCGCAGCGCGCTAACCGCTGCACCACCGCTCCCCAAAGGGCACACACACACACACCATCCGTCGCCTGATTAGTAAAAATGCGCCCACCACTGTGGTGAGGGCTGGTAAGGCACTCAGCGCCCTTTCATTGTCCACATTTAGACCCAGGCACCGAAGGTGTGATTCATCAGCATGTCCGAGGAATGGGGTTTGGGAGACGGTGTCTGGGCAGGCCTTGCCTCACCTGTACGAGTCAAGGTGTAGGCAGCTGCTGTATCCATCTCTCACCTGCATGGATTGGGCTGAGACAGAGCTGGGTGTCTCACCTGTATGAGATAGAGTCAGGCTCGAATCAGGTGATCCATTCCAGTCTAACTTATACAGCCCAATCTTGATTTGAAGCTTTCGTGACTGCAGGAATCCATACTCTTTGGTTCTTTCGGTAAAGTCACGTAGGTATAAAATAAATCTCACCTGTATGGATTAGGCTTCGACTTATGACACGTGCTCGTTCCCTGTCTCACCTGTATGGATTACACCCAGGCCCAGGACACGAGCTCTATTCCTGTCTCACCTGTATGGATTACACCCAGGTTCAAGGCACGAGCTATTTCCCTGTCTCACCTGTATTAAGTCCAGGCTCAAGGCATGAGCTCTATCCCTGCCTCACCTGTATCAGGCCCAGGCTCAAGGCACGAGCTCTATCCCTGTCTCACTTGCATGGGTCAGGCCTCGGGTGGTTTGCATCGGGAGCTCTACCCTGGCCTCACCTGTGCGGTAGCCGGCGCGGCTCAGGTGCACGGCGAATGTGCGGGGCTCGTGCGCCGCCTGCCAGGAGGGCGAGGAGCAGTTCTCGTTGTTGGTGTACACGTCGTGGTTGTGCGAGTATTTCCCCGTGAGCATGGAGGAGCGAGACGGGCAGCACACGGGCGTCGTCACGAACGCGTTGGTGAAGTGGGCACCGCCGCGCTCCATCAGCTGCCGTGTCTTGTTCATCACCAGCATCGAGCCTGGGGGGCCACGGTACGAGAGAGAGAAAAAAACCCACATCGTGTGATCTCGTAGCTGTCAACCCATACGGTCCACCCGTATTCTTGTACAGGGAAATTTAGTTTTGAGGTCCATACGGCGTGCAGCCGTTTCAATACTGGCAAAAAAATGTATTCATCATCATCATCATCGTACGCCTTTTGGCGTCCTCTGGTCTAGCACCGTTTGAGAAGAGGCTCAAAAGAAAGCTGTCTTTGGTGTGGACCAATCAGTTTCAAGGACAATGCATATATTATCAGAGTGTGTTTTTTTGTTTGCATTCTGACCACAAGTATTGTGGTTAATGCAGACATGATTCCTTGTAAAAGGGTTTCAGTTTTGTTGCCAGAAAAATGGGGAAAACCCTACTCTTACATTTTTTTCTGTTTGTGTTTCTCCCTTGTGATGGGACTTTGTAGGATGAACGTTGAGAATTATGAGGGCACGGGTGATCGACAAGGTCTGAATTGGTCTGCAATAAGGGGTTGACAGGTACGTCATCTTGTCGTTAAATCCGGCAGGTTTATGATTGCGCTACGACCCTATATAAATGCCGTTCAGAGAATGTGGGTCGATTAGCACGGCTGGCTACGTACGGTGGGAAAAAAGTTCAACGCTGCCAAATGGGTAAAACCTATTCTTAATTTTGCATACATTGATACTGGCAAAGAGGTCTAATTTTGTAGCTGCTCACCCTGAGCTATAAATGCTCTGATAGTGGCATTGTCCTTGTACTGTCCGCCTTTCGGCGTTCTTTTGTCTGGCACTGGTGAGACTAGGCCATAAAGAAGGATGTCTCCTCTGGTGTAGGCCAATCATCTTCAAAGACAATGCCAATATATTATCTGAGCATGTTTTTTGTTTGCATGTTCACCACAAGTACGTGTGGTTAAGCAGACATGAATCCTTGTAAAATGTTTCTATTTGGTGTTTAAACATCTTAACACAGTTGTTTTATTGCCAGAAAGGGTAGAACCTATTCTTATTTTTTTTCATTCATCCATACACACGTGTCAATTCCGTTTAACACGGAGACTTCCACGACCAATATTCATAATAAAGGTTTTTTTGGGTTATATTGCATAAATATATTAAACATTAACCTCCCCCTCTGGCCTTCGCAACTGATTGGCTCACGAATGACGACGTCACATTTATCCCTTTATTTAAGAACAAAACAAGAGGAATTCTCAACAAATCTGGCTGTCGGCTGATGATGCTAGTTTTAATTACTGGCTCAACGTCACGGTTCTCGACTTGTAAATACTGCGAATGTACTCTCCAACACACCGCTGTCGTGTTTCAGGCGGTGGCGTGTTCAACGACACATTCATATTTCGTCACAAACGTCGTGAGAATTATTTTATTATGTTTTATTTTGATTATTTCATTACTTCCCTTCTACGTGACTTTACCGAAAGAACCAAGAAGATGAATCCCTGCAGTCACGAAAGCTTTAAATCGAACTTTGACACATTCATATTTACGCGATATAACCCAATTGCAACTCTATCATGAATACGCGCCGATTGCTGCCCTCCCCGAGTGTCAGCAACCGTGAAGCCCGGTGCCAAACTCGTGAGCCGTGTGCCACTAGATCCATACCGAGCTCGACGTCCTGGTCGTCGGTGAGGATGAGGATAATGTTGGGCGCCTTTCGAGCACGCGCGGGCCGGAGGTTAGGGTCCGAGGCGAGGCCAGGGCACACGGACGCGGAGAGGCACAGAAGCAGCAGCAGCAGCGGCTGCTGTGGCAAAGAAGGTGACGGGGGCTCCATGGTGGACGAACGAAAGCCACCCGCCGAACTGGGAGAGAAACAGGCTGCGTCATCCCTGCGTTAAAGCCACGTTTTGTCTCTTCCTGCGTCACTGTCGTCGTCATTCTCATTATCGCTTAATTGCAAACTCAACAAATCAATCTGCATGTGCTAGATCTCATTAGGCCTCGAAAAGCCTGGTCAGCGCTGGAATGCGATCAACACCAGCGCATGCGATGTATTGTAGAAAGGCCACCCAAAACTTGCAGAGCTTCTGCAATTATATGAAACTGGCTGCATGCAGGATAAGCATTTACATTACAGACGAACACTGTAGTGCAGTAGCACATGCCGATAGTCTCGTGGTGGATTGCAATCTGCTGGGTATGTGCGACAAATTATGAAGGTTGAGCACTTTAACAGAGCCTCATGATCATTCATGAACATCACAATAATGTTTCTGAGTAACACGAAAACATCATAGCTGAGCCACAATTTCCAAGCGGCATTTTTTTTTAGATAAACCGAATACACTGTTGCCTGTGTTGCTCTCTCTGTGTATCTTGGTGATGTCTGTCTGCTGGTATGTCTGTCTATAGTTTTCTGGTTGGATTTTATGTCGCTATTTCATTTTACCTGATGATGATTGCTTGTGTTGCAATCGAAACGTCGTATTCTATTATTTAATTTAATTTATTATTTTATCTTTAGACGTGACTTAACCGAAAGAAACAAATAACGAATACACTACTCAAACGGGTCAGAGGGCAGGGTTCAGTCTTCAGAACAATGAGCCACAACCACCGAGAAACTGGATCTGAATCGAGGTTTCACCCACCCACGATTAAACCGATTCCTCGAGCGTAGTTAGTTGATGGTCTCTGCCTGGTCGTAAAATACCGCACACATACTAAAAATAATGTATGACATTACAATTGTGCTGTTTGCTTAATATTGGAATATTCCAGCTACATGAATGAAACTATTTGGTTATTGCAGACAGGAGAAAAACAATATTGGCAGCATGTAAACAAACGTGCCCCTATATTACAAGTGGCAATCAGAAAAATGCCAGTTCATAGCACAGGTGAGGGGTGACTCAGCCCATCATAACACGACTACCACCTTGTGGGGAAACAAGCATTTAATTATAGATTTGAAGCTTTCGTGAGTGCAAGGATTCATATTCTTAGGTTTTTCGGAAAAGTCACGTAAGTAAAAAATTAAAATTAATAAAAGTTCAAAAAAATCACGACGTTTCGGAGGCAACACAAGCTTCTGTCACTTGATACAGCTATCGTGCTGTGACGGTTCCACCTGAAGACGGCAGCTTGTGTTGCCTCCGAAACGTCGTGATTTTTATTTAATTTTTTATTTTACTTTTATTAATTTTACATTTTTACCTACGTGACTTTACCGAAAAAACCTAAGAATAAGCAAGCATTTAGTTGCCCTGTGGATAGACTCGCCCCAGTCCATAGGAATGTGTAATCTTCACCACTGGCTCAGGACTGTAAACAGAAGAGCACCGCCTCAATGATCCTTGAGAGGAAAATCGCCTTTGAGTTTGGATAAATCGGTCGATGAAAGCGCCTTCAGTACCAGTGTCTGTGAGATCATCTTCTGGGGACATTCTTTGGCAGAGCGATGCACTGCATGCTGCAGATTCCACGTGAAATAGTATTCGTCCAACGACATGATGAATTGAAGAACTTCCTAGCTACCCCTGTGGCTATTTGGTAACATTATTATTGATCTATGGCTACTACGGCACATAAAAAAAATATGCAACTATCCACAGCAAAAATTATATTTCTGAGTCTCCGCTTTCAATTCACGAACTCTCAGTAAAACCGCCACTTTTTTCAAAATTTCTTGCTGTGGATTTCACACCTGATGACGATTGCTTGTGTTGCAGTCGAAACGTCGTGAGAATTTTATTGTTTTATATTTGTATTATTTTATTATTTCCCTTCTACGTGACTTTACCGAAAGAACCAAGAATACGAATCTCAGTAATACAATTATATAAGGTGTATAGACAAGATAATAGTGTGTAGTGAGATGAAGATAAGATGAGACTGAGTTGTAGTGAGATGAGAGAGATACAAATGAGACAGGTGTAGTGAGATGGGATAAGGGAGATACAGATGAAAGAGAGATGCAGTTATATAAGGGAGGTACAGATGAAACCGAGGTATAGTGAGACGAGAGAAGAGATACAGATGAGACAGAGTTGTCGGGAATTGAGAGAGACAAGGATTGAGTCAGATGACAGAAGAGAGATACAGACGAGATAGAAATAAAAGCCATTAAACACTCGTCATTAAATGTTCATTATGATTTGAATTCGATCTCACATTTGTTTCGCCAATATATATTTCTGCTATCTCCATTAATCCTGTGCGCCTCTTGAGCTCCCAGGGGCCCTAAGCCTTTGCCACTCTGGGCCATGTGCATTACGTGGGCCATGTGCATTACGCATGCCGTAGACACAAACACGCGACTCGCACCTGCCCGACCTCCCTGCGGCGTGACCTTGCTCACTGAGCCGCGCATACGTTTAACCTTTGTGAGCGGTCCTTACGGGGCGGGGGGGGGGCTGCGGGGGAAGATGGTGGGTGGGTGTTGGGGGGGGGTCGAGCAGCACTCACATCGATTGGGGGCGGCGTGGACCGTGAGACGACCCCCAAAGCACACACGGCCCGGGCGCCATCGGCGTCGCGCGCGGTGGCAGAGGCGAGTGAATCGAACGGCAGTCTCCCCTTCGGTGATGAAAGCGAAGAGGCCGAGTCGAGCGAAAGGCGTTGCTGGCTAACGACGAAGGCTGCGAAGCGCCTTGACTAAGCACGCAAGGCGACTAGCCTAATCGAAGTCGTTTAAAGTGTTTGTGTTGTTGTTGTTGCGTGTTTATTATTCAGTTGCGGTGCGCGTTTTGTTTGTGTCGTTGTTGTCGCGTGTATCTCGAATAGGCTGTGGTACACGAGACGAACGGGTGGCAGTTACGCGCGCTGGTAATTAATAGTGTGATTGTTTTCGAGTAAGATGTACTTATTTTTGGGAGTATCCTTAATTTAACCGAGGGGATTAATTATAGGCTCTCCGTTGAGACACGTGGTTCACAATTGCATATTTTGCAAGGGCAATCTGGGTTACAATAATTAACTTATAATGCAATATAACGTCTTAATACGTTTCAAAAGTAAGAATTTGAACTACATTTCACAATAACAGTTATGTAGTGATGATGATTAATTGATTGTGAAGCATGATGGTGGTGGTGGTGGTTATAAATAATTAGGCTATTTAAATAACTACTGCTCTCCATTGAATTTGACAACTAAGCCCTCGTGAAAACAGGATCTTGAGACTCAAATGAGGTTATTTTAGAGTTACTACACGTATCATGTTTACAGTCTATCAGGAATGAACACGGAACATTATTATTAATTTTCCGAAATTTCAGTCTCATCCAAAGCTAAATTAAGTATGATGTGTAATTCACAGTGTAAGATCACATTGGCTCATGGTCAGCAGGGAGATTAATCGTGGCATCATGTCACTTGCGGAATGGCAGTGCGTGTGGAGGACTTCATCCAACAGTGAAGAGACCACGGACTGTTGTTGTAAATGACAATGATGATGATGATAACACATTCCTGCGGAGGGAGCTGGTAGGAACGTTGGGTTGCTCGGTCAATGGCCAGGGTCAACGGCGGCGTGGTGTATTCCGCAAATATGCCCGACTGTGAGGGCGGGCACCAGCTGGCGTGAGTAGGTTAAACGTTGCGTTTTATAAGAGCACCACGGGGTGACCAGCCCCTCCCCACCCAGCCCCACCCCTCCCACCCCCCACTAGGCCCCACCCTCCCCACCAAGCCCCTCCCCACCCAGCCCCTCTCTTCCCACCCAGCCCCTCCCTGCACGACGGACACAATAATCCCCTGTGGGCTGGTGTAACCAGGAGGTTCTTACCAGTTTCAACACTTACACAACTTCTGAATCGGTAACAATGTAATCTGGTCAAATCTAAAGGCACAGCCCTGCAACTGCTGGCTTACGCCACCGCTGGCGGAAGAGTCTCCACTAGAGGCAGCTCTATAGAGCCCCTCTACAACAATACAATGCACTTTGAGATATACAACAACAATGATGATGATGACGTCACCACGGCGCTTGTGGCAGGCTATGTGCAAGTTGAGGCCATGTGAAGATATATAAATATATATATATACACACATTCTAGATTTTAAGTTTTCGTGACTGCAAGATTAATACGCTTTGGTTTTTTCGGTAAAGTCACTTAGGTAAAAAAATAAAATAAATTAAATCACGACGTTTCGGGCGCAACACACGCTTAAGCGGTTGTCCTTTCGCTAAGTTGTCCCCACCTGGAGAAGGACGCTTGTGTTGTGCCCGAAACGTCGTGATTTAATTTATTTAAAAAAATTACCTACGTGACTTTACCGGAAAAAACAAAAGGTATATATCCACACACACATTGCGTACAATTATATTGGCTAGCAACCTAGACACACATACACGTGAAAGGGTAGTTGGAAAATTTAAAGTCGAATTTTCGCGCGCTGTCCTGATGCAATGGTTCGCACACTGGACTTACTACCCAGAGCCCACGGGTTCAATTCCATCTCCAGCTATTAGTCGGCTAAGTGACATCCAATAGCACGATCTCAACTTCTCACGAAAATTAGGCTCCACGTGACAACTTGATTTGATCGGCTCTGTCGGGTGGAGGAGGATTATAGTAAACCATTTTTGACACAATCTCAGCCAAATTAATTAAGTATGAATCATGATCATTGGTCGTGAAAGTCAATACGTATGACATTCGCTGACTCCAGTTTGCTGATGTTGATTATAAAGAGCTTTTGCTCATCGCCTGTCACTCAAACGGCATCACCCACAGCACTTAACAAAGACAAAGATCCTCCATATAACTTTAATAGGACTGATGGGGCAAGTGCTGTTAGCG